CCTGGTTCCCGTAGTGCTTTTGGTAATGATGATTCACGACATTGATGTCATTTGTATCGAGAGGTTTCATAGGTAGACCTAGTAGGGGGCAGGTTATGAATTAGTGCCTTATACTGTCATGCTACCTTACTGACGAGTAAGTGTAGGCGGGTTCTAGTCGCTATTCATACTGCCACGTTGTCCTTGTTTTGTACTTTGATTTGATCTGTGATGATCTTGGAGTTCTTTTTGGGTTATTTTTGGATCGGTATGATGGTTCATCAGGAGAAATGCTTACGGTTGTTGTCTTCCGTTCCTTTGTCTGGCGTTGGGTTCTGTAAGTGACCTTTGACTTATCGTGTGGTCGTGCGGTCATTTTTCTTTTGAGCGGTTGTCCAGTCGTAAGCACGTGGGTGTCATTGGCTTGAGCGTTGTCTTTCAGCCTTGGGGTTGTTTTCGTTGCATATTGTTTGGGGTACTCGGAGATGTACTCCGTAGTTATCCTGGTTTCGCCTTTTTGTTTTGTTGGGGCTGGATTTCGGGGACGAAATCCCTTTAAGGTGGGAAGGTTGTAATAACCCGGTCATTTTCTTCATTTTCCCTTTTTCTTCAAATTTTGCGGATAATTTTTTTTTTCATTATCTTTTCCTTTTCGGGTTCGATTTCCCGCCTCTTAGTGTCATCTCGAGTGCTCGGAAATGGTTTCTGAGACTCTTTCCTTTGGATTGACAACTTCCTTTGAGGATCGAGTCATTTCCACATTTTTTTGTTTTTTGACACTATTCATTTTTCGTTTTTTCCTTATTTCGTCCTCTTCTCGTTTTTCACTTTTACTTGCATAACCTCATTTTTTGTTCTCGGATTTGATTCCGGTTTTGCATACATTCATGATATTTAAATTCCATGACATCTACATTTTTACTTTTGTAGAAATGCATATTAAATACTTACTTTCTTTGTAAAAGTCATGAAAACAAGACTTTTTGCAATTATCCATAACTTGAGGGGTTTTTGGGTAATTAAGTAAAGTAATTATTTTTCGTCTTAGGGACCATTTTGCAATTAAATTTGAAAGATATTTTTAAAAAGGACCCTTTTGTAATTTTTGAAAAGTGTGACAAGTGCCACACTCTCATTGGTCCACTTGTTGACATTTGTGTGGAAACACTTTAATGCATTAGATGATGACATTTGGAGGGTGAGGATTCACCCACTTGTTGTCCTAGGATTGGTGCACTTGTTGGCATGGATGGTTGACAAGTGTAGGGTTAATATTTAATCTTGGAAACTTACTTGGATTCATGACAAGTGTAGGACTCACATTTAGTCTTACATTAGTGTGTGTGAGAGAGGTAGTACAAGAGCACCTAGTGAGTGGAAAAGCCCACCAATTTAGCTTAGGGTTTACACATTTTAATTCATTCATCACTTTCCTCTCAAGAACCCTAAGGAAGCCACCATTGGAGAAAAGCTTGACTAGTAGCTTTGACTTCATTTTTTGTGCCCTTTCACTCATCTTAGAACTTTGAACTTGGAATACTTTTTATTCCCCTCATCCTCCTCTTCAAAACCCTTGAAGGATCTAGCCTAACTCCTACTTTTGCTTTGGTATCTAGAGATTCAATTCTCTAGTGAGGTGATCTATTATTTTGAAGTATTTTTATGTCATTATTGAGTGTTTTATATGCATGGAATAGAAGGACTTGTATTTTGCCCTTAAACTGTTTTAACTTGAAATTAATCTTGTCAAATTAAATATAGAATATGAAAATATACTCAATTAGCTTTCATTTAGTTTTGGTTTCATGTAATTTGGATTTAAAATGAATTAGTTATTAATTTTTGAAGTTGCAAGCTAGTTGCTGGAAATTTGAAGCTTTTCCTTTTCAGTCCGGAAATGAATTTTTTATATGGAGCCTTAGTACTTCAATTGCCTTGAAATTTTTACTAGAACTTCCTCCATGAGTTTTACACTACTCAGAATTTTTTCACAATTTTAGAGCATTTCTAAATTTTTTTAAAAATCCGAAACTAACTGCTGTCTATGTTTTTATTGCAGCTGGAAAACATATTTTTAGATGATTTATTTCACTAACCTTTTGACATTGGATCATGGCTTAAATTTCCAGTTTTACACTCTCATATGTTTGCTTCCAAAATAAATTAGGTTTGCCCAATTTGGATGTTAAATGAATTTTTCATGAATTTTCAAAGTTGGAAGCTACAGGCTGAAAATGTGTTTTCTGGGCAGAAATTTTTTCAAAGTTGTGGGGAAAAACTGTTTCAATTGGGAAAATATTTTGTTAAACTAAATTGATATTATCAAATTACAGTGTTTAAGCTTTCATTGGGCTTTGGATTCATTCAATTTGGGTTAGAATTTAATTTTTTATGAATTTTACAAGTTGAAGGTAGCAAGCTAAAAAATCTGTTTTTGCGGACCGAAAATTTGGGGCGATTTCATTTCGGTGGTAATTGGGATTTTCATTCCAATTGAGGTAGGGAATGTTTTAGGATTATTTGTATATTGTATTGTGTATTTGCCATGATTATACAACATATATGTATGCCTTGTATCAAATCTAGAAAGTTAGTAATTTTTATTTCTTTATATAAGATTTAAAAATTTATGATGATTTATAACTTTGATTTGAATTGTAACATGTTAGGAAATTATGCTTAGATATGTTGGTTAACATATATTAAATTTGGATCATTTGATTAAAAATTACAACTTTTATTTAATATTTATCTTTAGTGAAAGTTTAATTCACATGATTGTATCAAGCATTAAATCAAGTTGTAATGTGGTATTTAAATAGGTCTTGGCATGTTCTCTAACATAGATTAAATTGAGGGCATTTGGAATTGTTTAAAAATCTAGAGGAAATTAATTAATTAGCTTGATTAATTTTGTTTTAAGTGTTTTAATCACTTAACTTGTCATTTGATGTTATATATATGATGACCATGACATGCCTTTCAATATATATTAAATTGAGGCTATTTGGATTAACTTGGAATTTAGAGAATTTAACTATTTATGTTTAATTAAATTCTACTTTATTACTCCATGGATTTAATTGCATTTTGGAAGTTGTTTCTATATTTAAATCATGGATTTGGATTTGATGTACGTTTACTTGGTTACTTTTGAGCATTGGATAGCATAGTTGTTACTTTTATATTCATGAGAATATGTTTTTCCTTATTGAATATATTGTTGCTATGTGTAAGGAATTGCATACTTTGTATTTGACATCTTACATGCCATAGTACTTGTGAATTTTGAGCATGTATTATATAAGTTTCCAAAATTTGGATTGTGCTTGGTAAATAGCTGATATCTTGTATATACATGTTGATATATATACGTTGTTGCACAATTTGTTGATTTTGGAAACTTGAGGATGTCGTTGTTTGGCTACGGCTAGGACTTGGTTCTAGTACGGGGGATTGTCCCTCTATACAATCTAGTGTGCACATAGGGAGGTTACCCATGGGCTAGTAACCCTAAAGTAACTATGTTGTCGGTCTGATCCGGCGTGACGTCCGAGTATCCACTTTATTTGATTTCGTATTTTATTTCAAGTTGATAACTAGATGATATCGTAACTTGTTGTTCCTTATTTGATTTTCTATTTTAAGCTTAAGATGTAGCTTTGTGAAAGCATGTTTCATGCGTTCTATTGGAAGTTCCATTGTTGGTTAAATTGCATCGATATCATAATTTGTGTTTTGATGTTCAAATGTAGTTTAGGAATGACCTTATAGATTCATTTTGAACATAGACGTTAGGTGGCATGACCCACACTTGTTGTTTTCGTATTTTGGATTTCAAGTTGAAGACTTTGAGAATCTATATCTTGTTGTCTTGTATAACATGTTTCCATGTTGTTTGAATTACATGAACAATGTGATTATGATAGAAATGATCTAGGTAGCTTAGGATGCTCCCTGGGTCTCATCTTGACATAGACGTTAGGTGGCATGAGCCCCTTTAACATGTTTCACCATAAGGTGATAAAATTGTAAAATGCTAGGTCGATGCATGCTCATCTCCTACGAGTAGCTTTATATTACTCACCCCTACGATACTGGGGCATATTTCAGGTACAAGACTCAGGATTTGAAGATTCCATTGCTCCTTGGATGGCTTACAGTTTCTATGTTTTTATTTTATGCAAGTGTTAGCATAAGATGTCTCTTTGTAGCCTTATTTGTTTAAACTTGTATTCGTTGATTCGTATATGTAAAGTGTACGTAAGTGCATTATTTTCAATGTATTTAATATGTATGAGATGAGGCCGGAGGCCAATGACATGTATCTCGTTTTCTATTCACTTTTGTTTTCAAAGTTTATTATGAAAATATTGGAAAATGTTAAGTCATTGTTTTATAACTTTCGCATCGGGTGTTGAAATTTCATATCTTTTCTGCCCGGACTCAGAATCAAACGATTCTTGAGTCTAATTTTGTTCATTTTTCGTTGTTCTTCCAATGGTGTGCACTGTGGCACCCTTTTCAGTGAGAAATGACCATTTTGCCCTTAGTTCATCTCTTTTCGGGTTAGGCATTGTTGCTTCATTTGCTTAGCTCATTTGAGTTCCGTGGCTTCATGGAGAGTCATTTTGGGGCCTTAGGGATGACATACATCTCTTGAGGTCATTTGGCTTCTTTCGCTTCCGCATTTCGGGTCCGTTATCGGGTCAACTTCCGGTTCATCACTAACGCACCGGGTTGAGAAATCCGGGTCGTTACAGTAATGTATCTAATCAAGACAATAGACACTAATAGATTTCCTAAACTGAGAAAACTTAGGAGCATCTAATGGTTTAGTGAGAATATCAGTCAAATTCTGATCAGTATGCACTTTTTCCCAAGACACGACATTTTGTCCAACAAGTTCCCTAAGAAAGTGATGTTGAATGTCAATATGCTTAGTCCTAGAATGCAAAACTGGATTCTTTGAAATATTAATTGTACTAGTAGTATCACAAAAGATAGCAATAGTACCTTGATCAACTCCATAATCCAGAAGTATCTGTTTCATTCAAAGCAATTGTGTGCAACAATTTCCAGCAGCAATGTATTCAGCCTCACAAGATGATAAAGATATGCAATTTTGCTTCTTGTTGTACCATGAAACAAGATTAGTACCAGTATAGAAACAACCACCTGAAGTACTCTTTCTATCATCCTTATTACCAGCCCAATTAGCATCAGTATAACCTGCAATCTCAGAGTTAGACTCAGAAGAATAACGCAATCCATAATTTAATGTACTATTGACATAATGGATAATGCACTTGACTGCAAGAATGTGTTGTTCTTTAGGATCAGCTTGATACCTAGCACAAACACCTACACTAAATAAAATATCTAGCCTAGTTGCTGCCAAATACAACAAGCTACCAATCATACTCCTATATAAGAAATGATCAACCTTGTTAGGATCAGAGTCTCTATCCAATTTGGATGAAATACTCATAGGAGTTTGAACATGCTTTGAATCTTTCATACCAAACTTCTTAACTAGCTCATTTGCATATTTTAATTGAGATATGAAAATCCCATCATCAAGTTGTTTCACTTGGAAACCTAGAAATAAAATCAGTTCACCAACTATGCTCATTTCAAAAGTATTATTCATACCTTTAGAAAAATTATGAATAAGGTTATTACAAGTAGCACCAAAAACAATATCATCCACATATATTTAAGCAACAAGAAAATCTTTTCCTTTCCTAAAAATAAATAATGTTTTATCAGCTCCTCCTCTTCTGAAGCCCTTGTGCATTAAATAAAAAGTTAACTTCTCATACCATGCTCTAGGTGCTTACTTTAAACCATAAAGAACCTTTTAAAAATGAAAAACAAAATCAGGATTATGTGGATTAATAAAACATTTTGGTTGTGCTACATAAACTTCTTCCTGCAAAATACCATTTAGAAAAGCACTTTTAACATCCATTTGAAACAATTTGAATTTAAAGTGACATGCAAGAGCAAAAAGAAGTCGAATAGACTCAAGTCTAGCAATATGTGCAAAAGTCTCATAAAAATCAATTCATTCTACTTGAGTGTATCCTTATGCAACCAATATAACTCTATTTCTCATCACAAAGACCATGTTCATCAAGTTTATTTTTAAAGATCCATTTGGTCCCTATGATATTAACATCACTAGGCCGAGGCACTAATTCCCAAACATCATTATTCACAAATTGAAGCAATTCTTCTTGCATAGCCATAAGCAATCAGAACTTTTAAGAGTTTCATCAACATTTTTAGGTTCAAACTGAGCCATGTGACATGAGTGTCCTATATCATATATAATGCATAAATGTCTTGTGTGATCACGGACTGTACTCCTAGTACTATACTGATCCCATGGACCTATCACATTGTCAACTGGATGACTCAATCTAACTCTAGAACTGCTAGATGTGGGAATATCTAACGATGGTGCAGGAATTCCTATAGGTTCATTAGTGGTGACAACTAATTCCTCATCATCATCTTCTTTAACCTCTTCACCTTCTCCACCTAAATTCTCAACTCTTTCTTCCTCTTGAATTGTAGGTTCTATCATTTCTCCTGTAATTTCAAAATTAATTTCTTCTTCATCAAGTTGAGAAGAGGTTATCTTAGATTTTGTATCATCAAAAACCACATTTATAGACTCCATGACTACTTTGGTTCTAAGATTAAAAACGATATAAGCCCGACTTGTTTGTGAATAACCCAAAAACCCACCTTCATCACTTCTAGAGTTAAATTTTCCCAAGTGTTCCCTATCTCTAAGGATATAACATTTACTTCTAAAGACTCTAAAGTATTTAACAGTGGGCTTTCTATCATACCACAATTCATATGAAGTCTTGTTAGTTCCAGGCCTTAAGATAAACTCTATTTAGGATGTGACAAGCAGTACGTACTGATTCAGCCCAAAAGTGACTTGTAATTTTATTCTCATGAAGCATAGTACGTGCCATACCTGTAATTGTCCTATTTTTCCTTTCTACTACACCATTCTGTTGTGGTGTTTTAGGTACTGGAAATTCATACTTAATGTCATTCTTATCACAATATTCAATAAATTCCTTAGGTTCGAATTCACCTCCATTGTCACTTCTAATCCGATTAATTCGATATCCCTTCTCATTTTGAATAAGTTGGCAAATAGACCTGAAATTCACAAAAGTATCAGATTTTTCTCTCAAATATGTAACAAAAGTAAATTTAAAAAAATCATCAATCATAATAAGCATATATTTTTTTCCTCAAATGCTATCAGGGGTTATGCTACCCATCAAATCCATATGAATCAATTCTAAATGTCGAGAAGTGACTTTATAAATAAGTTTCTTATGTGACACTCTAGTTTATTTTCCTAATTGACATGGACCACATATTTCAGTCTTAGGCATTTTCAATTTAGGCAAACCTCGAACAACATCATTATTAGACAAATTCACTAAATCATTAAAATTCACATGTCCAAGTCTTTTATGCTATAAAATTGCCTTATCAGTAACTGCAGAATAACACATTAGTGAATGATCCGAAAACACAACATAGCAATTATCAAAAGTTCTAGTTCATTTCAAAACATATTCACCTTTTTCATTAGTTACAAAACACCCTTATTGAGTAAAATTGACTTGAAACTCTTCATCACAGATTTAACTAATACTTAACAAATTAACAGCTGAACCTTTAACATATAGAACATTTTTTAGCTCCCTAATTCTTGAAAATTTGATATTACATTTACCACTTACAGTAGAAGCATCACCATCACCAAAAATAACAGTACCAACTGAGCATTCCTTAAAAGTGGTAAACAATGTTCTATCCCCTGTCATATGCCTAGACAACCACTATCAAAGTACCAACCACATGGACCAAGTGCTCTAAGTGTTGTGTGCATGGCAAGGCATTTAAAATTCTCTTTCTTTACCCAAACAATTTTAGATTCATTATGCAATGATTTCCCTATTGTTCTAGGCAAAGTGTCACAAGGCTTAACAATCCTAATCCTCTTCTTCCTTAAATTTGAACTCTCTAGATATTTTTAATTTCTTTCCTAATTCAATTTTTTTTTATCTGACACTTATACTTGATATGCCTTTTTTCACCACAAAAATGACATGTTGAAATAAGTTTGGAAGAACTAAAGATAACACAAGATTTTGTTTTATCTTTTGATTTTTGAAAATACAAATCATTTGAAGTTGAAACCAATTATTTATTATGACTAATATTCTCAACCATTCCTTTCAACTTATCAATTTTGCAAGTGTCATTCTCAACATTCTGAAAAGACTGTTTTGATTTAACAAACTCATTACTTAAATTATCAATTTTAAGTTCCATTGATTTATTAAACAACTTTACCTTCTTAAGTTCCTTTTCCAGAAAATCAATTTTATAAAGAAAATTCAAATTTTTATGCCAATTTCTTCCAAATTCTTATTAGAGACAGAAATTTCTAACTTATAAATATCTCTATCAAGTTCTGCAAGATTCAATTTCTCTTACAAAATTTTAAAATCCTTTTTAAACTTGGACCATTCAATTTGCATGCTTGTGACAGAATAAAAAACAAGAGGGAAAGCATCAACAGATGAATATTCAGACATGATGCAAAAATCAACAATAAATCAACAAATATGTTCTACTCTGTATATCGAATATCCCTCTCTGATACCAAAATGTGAAAATAGAGTTACGCGAGGTATGGAAACAGTTAGTTGATTTTAATTATGATTAACTCCGTTAATGACCTAGATCTGATTATTAGGTTATCTTGCTCAATTTATGATTGGTTAAATTATATGATCAATTTAAACATTCACAATCACAAATATAAATACTGTAAAGTAAAGCAAGTAAAAGTTTAGAGAGATTGCACCAAGATTTTTAGCGAGGAAACCCAGTTGATAAAATATGTCAACTGTTTGCATGGAAAAAACTTCGTGGACTATTCAATCTAAAGTAAACCGATCTACTATGTTTGAAACAAAGTACGCCGAACTTTAACTCTGGCTCACACCCTATCGTTTTACCAAACACCAATTACTGACAATCCTCTAGCTTTGCGACTCCCCGTCCAACAACAACTTGACCTCAGCCTTATGCTTAATATTTGTAGAAGAGTAGCAGGTAGATCAGACAACACTCCTCGAATGCTCCAACCCTTTCAAAGTGTAATCGCTTTTATTTCTGTTCTTCAAGATCTGAACTTAATGTAGAAGAATTAAATCCTGCTCTTCATTTAGAATATCCGAATTTTTAATATAGCTCCAATTCCGATGAGATAGAGAACAACATCATTGAATCACTCATGAATATATGTTTATGCTCTCATAAATAAATTCAGAATAATCAGATTTGATTTTTTGAATTTTCTCTCTCTAAAAGGCTTTTTCAAAATATAAAATTGATTTTCTCTAAAATCGTAAATAAACCAATGTGTATGACAAGGTTTATATAGAGTTTAGAAAGTCCTAATCCCTCAGAAAATATAATAAATTTCGTGCATAAGACTTAGAAGGAAATTGGGATAAACAAAGAAACATTCAGAAGAAGGAAACTGAAATTAGAATAGTACCAGGACTTCTTAAATAGGTTCAGAAGGGCTGAACTGGTTCAAGACGACCAATAAAGGATCCCTCGGATTCTTGAACCTGTTTAGCCCCCTTGAACCAATTCAAGATGGTCAGTCTTGAAACTTAGGCAATTTTGCTGATGTTGAACCTGTTCGATAAATCTTGAACCAGTTCAAGATGGACAGAATGTAAAATCTTGTTTAAAACCTTTCAAAACCCTTCCTAAATGTTCTCACTACCTCTCAACCTTCTTGGAGCATTGTTCACATCATCTCGGAGTGTAGTATATTATGGACACTTGAACTTCTTTAAATCCGCATCCGATCTTTAATCTTTGAAATTTTGAACCAAAAAATTACAACTTAATCGAACTTGTTTTGACAGCGAAATTAGCCAATTACAAAATATATATCTCACACCAAAAAGAACTTTAGGGTTAACACGTCATGAGTATGTTCAGGAATTGTTGAATGACCATGCCGGTCGATGTTTTGATTTATTATGAATGGATAAAAAAGTCTTTCTCAAATTATGTCGAATATTTAGAGAACGTAAATTGTTAGAAGACACACATACAATTTCAATCGAGGAGTCAATGGCAATGTTTTTGTTCATTAAAGGACATAATATTTGTCATGCAGTGGTAGCTGAACGATTTCAACATTATGGCAAAACAGTTTCTAGACATTTTAAGCTCGTACTGAGAGTAATATGTCGCTTTGGAAAATTCCTTATACGTCCACCACAAAGCAATGATGTGCCTTCTCATATACTTCATAATCCCAAATATTATCCTTGCTTTAAGAATTGTATTGGAGCAACTGATGGAACACATATAAGTGCTTTTGCACCTGCCAGCAAACAAACTCCTTATAGAGGAAGAAAGTCTATAGTGACACAAAATGTTATATGTGCTTACTTATTTGATATGTTATTTACTTTCGTTTACGCGGGTTGGGAGGGTATAGCAAATGACTCGAGAGTTTTTGTTAATACAATTACTAGAGCTGCTGCACGATTCCCGATACCAACTGATGGTATTACTATTACTTTTGTCTTTTTAATATTAATAATAGCATGCTACTAACCCTAATAAAATTTAAATAATTTTTTGTAGGGAAATACTATGTAGTTGATTCTGGTTACCCATGCACAAAAAGATTTCTGCCTCTATATCGTGGTCAAAGAAGATTATAGGGGCAACAATCGACAACCGCGTGGTGCAAATGAATTGTTTAACTATTGGCATTCATCACTTCTCAATGTCATTGAACGTTGTTTTGTAGTATTAAAGGCTCGTTTTCCCATTTTAAAGCTTATGCCTTGTTATAAGTTGGTTAAACAACGACTTATAATAATTACTTGTTGTACAATTCACAATTTCATTCGTCAAAATATATTAGATAATCGTTTTTTTATAGAGTATGGGGAAGATGATGTTAATGTCGTTGATGGGGAGAATGGTACCAGTAGTAATGTTGGTGTACTGAATGTACTTAATTTATCTGATGATGGTGCAGCACAAATGGGAGTCCTTAGAACTCATCTGACAAATCAAATATGGAAATCATTCAGAGGCAATGCTAGATGAAGTTACTTTTATAATTCTCCAATGCTTTGCTTTGATTAGCTATTTGTGTAATTCTCTAATATTTTGTTTTGGTTATGTAGGACTAAAATTAATGTTTGTACAACTAAAAGTGCATATGACATTTGAAGTAATTCATATAACTCTTTTATTGTATTTAAATTTAGTCAAATTTTAATTAAACTTGATATATTGTATTTGTGCAACTTTTATTAAGTTAAGAATACTAGCTAAAATAAATTCACCTCCAACACTTATATATATATATATACATTAATAGTTAATATCATAAATTAAATAAATAAAAGAGTGGTACAATAATATTTTTATTTATTTTCTTAGTTTAGAAAACTATTTTCAAAAATTCATACAACCAAGTAGTTTTATGAGTTTTTATTTTTCATAAACTATTTTCTAAATTCTCTTAACCAAGTAGGTTTGAAATCTGAAAAAACTGAAAACCGTTCTTAGTTTTGATTCTCCAAAAACTGTTCTGGATTCCTAACTTAATAGAGAAGGGTAATAACGATATTTAAAAATGTAAGAATTAATAAGTTAGGATTTTAGGACTTTTTTGTAATTTCAATTTAGGAGAAAAGGAAATTGAAGGGAGGATATTGCTAGATCGTCAATATTGGCAACCAATTAAAAAATATTCTTATGTGCACATAATTACCTTACTTTAAGAGATCTAATATTCGCCCTTCACAATAATCGTTAGCCACTCCATTTTCACTCTCTTAAGATGAAATTATAAATGAACCGTATATCATATAAGTTTAATTCTTATTGTTTTTAATACCATAACTGGCATTCCCTATTAAAATAAGACTCCTCCAATTCTTTTTAATTTTTTTCAATATCCTGGACTCTTTTAGAAACTTATCAGTAAGGTATGTTGATAGTTAAAAAACCTATACACGAAGCATATTGATAATTTAGGTTCTAGTATTACTACTTCTTGCATATTACTTGTTAAATTCAGTGTATAAAAATCTTGATGAGACACTATAACAACATACGTGAAATAGGAAGTAATATATAGAGAAACATAACTAAATAACTGAGAAAGCAATATATATGGACGGTTAGGGAATTTTTTTTTTTTTTTTCTACGTTCAAACAAGCCTATACAACATTGTTTTTATTCAAGTAAAATTAAACTCTTTTTTTTTTTTTTCAATTAAGTTAAATATTTTTCGATAATGAAATAGGATATGTTTATTAATATACAGTTTGTTTCTAATTCAAATATGGTTTGGTCTAATTGCATACGTGCATTTTAATATCCCAATCACAATCCTAATAAACTTTTCTTCTTTCATTTATTGATAATACCTTTCATACATGAATTGTGTCAATTATACTCAACTTGGCATCCCAATGGATAAAATTTATTTTCAAATAAATATTGATAGATTGATGAAGAATGAAAAACTATTTTCAAAATCAACTAATTTTTTTTTATTCTAATGAAAAAAAAAAAAAAAAAAAGGTAAGAAATGAGATGCGTTGACTAATTCATAATTTTTTTTAGATTATTCAATACTGTTCATCTTGACAAGTTCAATAATTTCTCGCAGCTCAGTCACTATCATTAACGAGATCTTCTATTTTTGCATAAATAAAGGGGGACAGAGGGTGGAAGGTGAGAGAAGTTGAAGTATCTGAGTGTGAAAATTTTTATATTTTCTACTTTTTGACTAACAGGTCCAACAACATCAAATCCATACTTTTCAAAAAAGGTTATGAGTTCGAACCTCAGTGAAGATCATGTGTACAAGTAAGTTGCTTTACCTTTTGGCGTCAAGGATCCTAAACATTGTGGTGTGGGATTAAAAGTAGTAAGAATAAACCTTATGTGGTATGATAATTACTTTGTAATTTTAATTTAGGAAAGGGAAAAAAGTGGAGTGCCAAACTTCACAATTTTTTTTTTTTTTTTTTTTTTGTGCCCCAAAATCAGGCTATACTGAGAAGCGTCTATCCATGACTTTTACAAAATAAATATCGTTCGAAAGGAACTAACATGGCACCTAAATTGAGGATAATGAGAAGCATCTTACTTTTATTTTTTAATTGTAGCTTAAGTAAATATAATAAATTGTCATGAATTCAATGTTTTTTATATATAGATATATATATAATAATATTATGATTGCTAATTAAATATAAAATAAAATTAATGTCTAATGCATGAATAGTTAACTAATTGTGTTAAACAATTTTTAAATATCAAGTAAAATTTATTAATTGAGTTTACTAATTCATTAAATTTGTAAAAATATAATTGATAAGTCTTTTTAATAATGACATTGATCTAAAATTTATGAATAGATTACTACTTGTGTTAAATTATTTTTAAAAAAATAATTAAAATAATTAAAATTCATTAAATACACCATCTTATTGAATTGTGTTTTATTTATTTATTTATTATTATTTTTTTTTTTGTGTCATTGGCAAGAAACTCACATACACCACTGATACATCTACTTTTCTTATTTGGAGACACGAACTCTCACCATTTACTTTGAGAGATAGAAAAATTATTGCTGGGTTACAAGACTATGAAACTGTTACACAGTGTCTGCCAAAGCAATTGCGAACCTTTAATTCAACTCACTAAATTCATCATTATTTTATCCCAAATAAATATTTTTTTAAAAAACACTATATACATATACAGACTTAGAATATAATTTCAAAAAAGTTACTGTTTATTTTTAATTATTTTATCAATTTCTTGTATTGTTTGGAAGATTTAACGCATTTAACTTATATAAAAAATTAGTTAGTACCCTTGCTATTTATTTATTACTAGTAAAATAGTACTTGCATTGCACGATAAAATCTAATTTAAAAAATAATATTTAACAAAGTAATTAAAATTAATTTCTTATTTTTTTTGTCTTATTAGAGAAACTAAATTATTTATTTTATTTATATATTTCTTTATCTAATTAGATTTAATTTTATTAAAAAATTTATAATAAAAAGATAATTTGAGTTTTATAGACTCTTTTAAACACTTTATATTAATTAAAAATAAATAAAATTCATAATAAATAAATAATTTGTGTTAAAATTTTATAAAAAACTCTTTTAAAAATTTATAATAAATAAAAAATTTATTGAAATTTTTTACGGTTTTAATAAAAAGGGAAAATTACATATAAATGGAGTTAAAGTTCCATATTTACTTAGAGGCTGAGTCAAAGTTCCATATTTCTCTAAAATGGATTGCTGAGGTGGCACATGGTTTTTTACTGTTTAGAAATTGTGATGCCTAAAATACCCTTCCGCGAAGGTACTACTTTTTCTTCGAAGGTACTACTTTTTTGAACTAAAGGTACTACTTTTTGGCGTCCAGGTACCATGTTTTTTAAACACTCGCGAAGGTACTACTTTTTCTCCGAAGATACTACTTTTTTGAACTGAAGGTACTACTTTTTTGAACTGAAGGTACTATTTTTTTATTAGGTAAGGGCATTTTAGGTACCACAATTTTTTAAACAGTAAAAAATCATGTGCCACCTCAGCAATCTATTTTAGAGAAATATGAAACTTTGACTCAATCTTTAAGTAAATATGAAACTTTGACTCCATTTATATGTAATTTTCCCTAATAAAAAACTCTTTGGGCTTGGAAATAAGATCTTGAAAGGCTCGAGGAGGAAGCGATTTGGTGCTGATCATGGGAAGTGATACACCTTCACTTACCTAATAAAAGCTAGAGAGAGAAAGTATAACCCACCTCGGCAATCAACGCACTGCCTATCGATCGTTTCTCCAATCGTTTCTCCGTCCAGTGTCCTGACGAAAAGTGCTCGACGTCGCCGGCGAAATACGACAACGGCGCTCACTTCGGAGGCTTCTCATCGGCGACCGGCGACACAGGTATGTCTTCTCTTCCTGCTATTTTTCTTTGGTCTTCTTATTATTTTCTGCTTCCTAAAATCTAAAACCCTAAAATTTTCCTTTTCTAAAAATTACTTTATTTCTGATTCACCCTGAGACTCTCAGTTCTGAGTTTGCTATGTTACCACTGCAAACTCAGCAATTGGATTGCGTAGGAATTAACTATTTTAGTAACCCTCTTTTTAGATGAATGCATCTAGTAAATAAGATTGTTTTGTTGAATTTTTACTTCTACTAAATTATATATATATATATATACACACACATACTGAGAGAAGAGCTAAAAATCCTCTTTTTCTATCATGAACGTTAGTTTTTTTTTTTTAGTGACCGGACGTAGTTTTGGATTGATGTTAAGAAAATTGATTTAATTTTATGTACTGATTAGCAGGTTATTGAGTTCGCTCCTTTACTTTTCGCATTCATTCCCTCTGTCCCGGCTAGTCATAGAACAATTGCAGCTTTACGGCTCCACAAGTGCAAGCTTCAATAAGGTAATTTGGATCAAAGACTATATATTTTTTCGAATGTATGTATATATATATATATATTTTTTTTTTATAAGTATTTATATATATGCATATGCATTTATGTCCCGGTAGTCCCCTTGTTTTGGGTTCTTTCAATTGGGATGTTTTCTGAAATTTTAAGTAAAAACCCTAATGTTTAATGACTTAAGCGTTATGCTCTGCACATATAGAATACCTTATATGTGAGTGTATATACGTGTGTGGTTATATATAGCCTGCAGTTCCATGGTTCTAGGTTTTCTCTTTATTTATCCGTTTGAGAAATTTTGAACCAATGCCATATTGTCTGCACAAACCCTAGTTTGCTATCCACCATTTTGTGTTTTGCTGCACACTTGCACAGTTGATTTTGATGGTTGCTTTGACCCTCAGATTTAATGGAGGAATCAGTAAAGAGAAGGGAAAGACTGAAAGCAATGCGTATGGAATCGTCACAAGCTGGAAGTTATAATGAAGTTGACGATTCTGCTATATCTCATAACCTATCCAATCCGTTAATTGAAACCTCTGTTACTCCGCCAGTACAGCACGCTGCTCCGAGGTTTGATTATTACACAGACCCTATGGCAGCTTTCTCCAGCGACAAGAGGAGCAAGGTCAGCAATCAGATCTCACCACAGCATATCAGACCCCCAAGTAATAGCATTTTCTTTTAACAATCTAAGTTACTTATTGATGGTTTTAACTTACTAAAAATAGTTGTCACGACGAGTCAAACTGTTTGGTTTTGCCAATGATAAAAGTAGGGCTGCAAATGAACCGAGCTGTTCATGAACAGTTTGGGCTCGGCTCGGGCTCGGCTCGCTAGTAAATGAGTCGAGCCCAAGCCCAATTTTCAGGCTTGTTTACTAAACAAGCCGAGCCCGAACAATGTTAAGCTCGGCTCGTATAAGCTCGTGAACAGGGGCTCGGCAAGGCTCGTTGAGACTCGTGAATAAGGCTCGGGCTCGGCTCGCTATATATATATAAAATATAATATATAATAAGTGATTCATTAAAAAACATAACTTAGCATAGTTCGAACTTAAGACTTGGGCATGAAAGAATTTAACTCCCAACACTCCTACCAGGCTACCACTAATCCACTTTGTATCTTCAAAGTACAACATTGATTAATATATATATATATATATATAATAAGTGACCCATTAAAAAACATAACTTAGCATAGCTCGAACCCAAGACTTGGGCATGAAAGAATTTAACTCCTAACACTCCTACCAGGCTACCACTAATACACTTTGTATCTTCAAAGTACAACATTGATTAATATATACTAATATACATATACTAAATAGATTATCAAAGACAATTTTAACAGAATCAATAACTATATTAAAATTTTTTTAAGCATTATTGGTAGAAATGATAATTATTTTAAATTAATAATATACATATTAAAAGCTAAATAGCACAAGAATAATATCAAATAAACTAATATTGGAGAATCATCATCATGTTGATCTAAAGCTAAAGACCACAATTTTGTTTTTATTATAAAATATATTTCTTATTTTCTTTTTATAACTTTAATTGAGTTAAATACTAGAGGTAGGGTCCAACAAATTGCTGTCCTCGCCGTTCTCTGTTATCACCGTCTGCTGTCCTCGCCGTTCGTTGTCATCGTCTGTCCTCTCTGTTTCCTGTCCTCGCCAGGTTTTTTATAATTACAATGATGGTATTAGAAAGTTTTTAGCATTGATTTATTATAATTACAATGATGGATCATGAAATCATTGATTTTTTATAATTAGGTATTTGGAAGTTTTTAACATTGATTTATTATGGAGCATGAAATCATTGATTTTTTATAATTACAATGATGGTGTCTAACAGTTTTTAGCATTGATTTATTATAATTACAATGATGGAGCATGAGATCATTGATTTTTTTGCGGAATATTAATTAATTTTGAGAAGAAATTTTTTTTAAAAAAAAATTTCACGAGCCGAGCCCGAGCTTTTAAAATTAAAACGAGCTTGAGCCCGAGCTTTTAAAATTAAAACGAGCTTGAGCCCGAGCTCAATTTTCTGAGCTCGTCACGAGCCGAGCCCGAGCAGACCCGGTAAACAAACGAGCCGAGCCCGAGCAGACCCAAGCTTGGCTCGGCTCGGTTCATTTGCAGCCCTACATAAAAGACATATGTTTGTGTTTGTGTTTATGTTTGTGTTTGTGTTGTTGTTCTTTGCAGATTTTTGATGTTATGATTTTTATATTTTTAGTGAATAAGATTTTATCTGACTAGGAAAGCATGAAAACTGTTATCGACTTGCAGATATGATTTACAGACATCCTCTTGAAGTCTTTTAAATTTATGTTCATATAGTATGAAAAATGCCTAGGTATGTGAGCTGCAACATTAGGATGAAACTGAAGGAGGTTATTGAACAAACAATAGTTTAGCTAAATCCTTGTAGTGGAAGATAATGGAAAAAAACAGGGTGAAAACCATAAAAGAGAAGTGGATGGAGATAGGATGGGACGTATGAAGAGTGTACCTAGTGCTAAGACCAGTCCTCCATTTTCCCCAGTATTTTGGAGAGAAAACATCAAGAAAAACCAAATTGATGTTAAAAGAGTCTGACTAAGAAGGATTATTTCCAAGAAGTAGATATGTGAAGGTGTTGCTTATGGAGTTGCATAGGGCTCTGGCCCTTGGGTATAATACATAAGAGTTGTTGCGTAGTTCTGGCGAAGCGACACATAGACGCTAGAAATCACAACACACAGACAATAGTTGAGCACATAAGTTGGTGGGTTATGGGGAGAAGTTGTAAATCTATAGAGGAGATAGTTGATTTTTTGTGTTCTTTGAGCTCTTGGGTCCTTTTTGCTCCGGCCTTTGTGTAGTTTCTGGGACGCGTTCCCCTCTTGAACTTTTTCTAATACATTTCTACTTATAATATATATATATATATATATGAAATGGTTGAAGAGAAGGCTTGCTTTAACAATAATTTTTTGCATAAGTAATATCTCAAAGTCTTGCAATGGAGTTGGCAAGTTAGAAATTGTCAGTTAACCGCATCCCCTAGTTATTTTGTACACTTTGCCTGAATGGTCATTTGACATGGAAAAGTGCCCCTTTTTTTGAGCTATTATATAATATAAGGATGATTATTTTCAACAACCACCTAAGGAAACCTGTAAAAGCATCGATATTTAGCAAGGGAAGCCATATTTGTATTGCATCCACGCCAAATATCAATATTGTTCAGACACTCACGTATATGCGGCACTGGTTCCTAAACACATCCATATCTTTCAAAATATATTCTTCAATTTTAAAAGTATTCATTACTTTTAGGATGTGACAGGACATGTGTTTTACTTGTATTGAAATTGAGATATGGTATTTCTTGTATAACTTTATATATTAGGAAAAACATGACGGAGGTTTTTAATTTTTTAGAAAAAGAATTTAGATACAAGGTTAAATCTTTTCAAATTTGGCTCATCTCCATGTTTATATAATATAACCATCAGTTTTCTCATCTGAATTTAACTTTTAAGTTAAACACTTAAAATATTTGGCATACCAATAGAATGAATTGTTTTTCATGCTGAATGTGCATATATCAGGATTTATGACAACACAAATATTTTTTGTTTATATGCACACACACACACACACACACATTTATATACATAAATATTGCCATATCCCCCTTTTGCAGTATATGTCACTTTGACATGTGAATTTTGTTATCCATGTCCACATGTTTATGGAGCAAAATTTCTCTTTTCATTAGATTAGTGGTGTCTTGTAGAAATAATGTTTTTGCATGATGTTTGATTGAAAATTTGAAAATTGTAGTGTGTTGTGAGCCATGTTTTGGTCAACACTTGGAAAAATGCCTGCAATTGATCTTGAATTTTGGTTGATTTTATAATATTATGGGAATGTAAAAATCTTAATTGGGTTTGACAAAAACAATAAACAAAATACTTAATATGGCTAAGAAAGTTGTACTTGTGACCTTTTTTAAAAAGATACATATCGAAGTGGATGGTTAGATGTCTTCCATCTTTTTGTGTCATGAGGGCAGCATCTGGTAGTTGTGAACTGGTGGGAGTAGCAAAATCCTTCACATGCATGGTGAATTCAATTTTAAGTTATATTGAGCTGTTGAAAGTTAAATGAGCTATTCCAACATAGCTCTCTCCCTCCCTCCCTGTCTGCTTTCCTTTTTTCTTCGCACGGGAAAAGAGAGAGAAGGGGGGGGGGGGGGGGGGGGGGGGGGGGGGGGGTGTGTGGTTGTTCAGGGATCAGTGCTGGTTTACAATTAAATGCACTAAAACTATTATTATCCTTATCGTTATAGGAGTACCATTTATTGAAAATTTTGGTTTGGATTAAGTTTGTAGGTTGCTTAGGAATTTTGAATGTTATGGTTTGCAATTTATTATGCACGAAAATGAGTAGTTTTCCAGTTTGTTAAAATATTATTTGATTTGAATTATCTTTTCAAAACAATATACTGAATTTTCTTTATTGTATTTAGTCACCTGAAACTTCTTTTTTATGTTTATTAATTACCAGTAGCCGGACCAAGGAACCCTGAAATGACTCCCTCTGCAGCTCATCAAGTCCAAACCAATTATTCTCTGGACCAGAGAATGTACCCAGCGCGAAGCCCTCATCATAGATCTGGTCCTTACAGAAGCCCAATGGCAACTCCCTCTCCAGCTCATCAATCCCAAACCAATTATCCTCCTGACCAGAGAATGTACCAAGCACGAAGCCCTCATCATAGCTATGGTCCTTACAGAAGCCCAATGGCGACTCCCTCCCCAGCTCATCAAGCCCAAACCAATTATCCTCCTGACCAGAGAATGTACCAAGCACGAAGCCCTCATCTCAGCTCTGATCCTTACATAAGCCCAATGGGAATAACCAGTCCTTTTGGTGCGCATCAAGGAACTCCTTCTGGGGTTTGGAATGGTTCTGGGGCCACATCTAGCTACGGCTTTCCATATAATTCACCAAGAGGTGGTAACTTCCCCAGCACTGGACCTGGACAGGGAGGTAGTCCCAGTTTTAATTCAGGGCAGGGCAGAGGCCTTCTATATGATTCACCAAGAGGTGGTAACTTCCCCAGCACTGTACCTGGACAGGGAGGCAGTCCCAATTTTCATTCAGGGCAGGGCAGAGGGCACTGGTTCAGCAACAGTCCCAGCCCTGGTTCAGGACATGGAGCCTGCTCTAGTCCTAATACGGGAAGAGGCAAGGGTCGTTGGTCAGGCAGCGGCATGAGCCCTGGTTCTGGACGGAGTGGCGGGAGAGGATTTCGTTCTCGTAATAAAGCAGAGCTTAGACCAGATCTGTACTACAACAAATCAATGGTAGAAGACCCATGGGAGTTTTTGGAACCCGTTCCCTGGAAGACCCCGGACTCTCAAGAGTCGTGGCTTCCGAAATCTATTAGCGTGAAGAAACCCAGAGTTTCTGAAGCTTCAAATCATCACAGCTCTCAGCCAAGCCTTGCTGAATACCTGGCTGCCTCCTTTAATGAAGCCGCCAACCATAAACCTAAGACTGATGAACCAAGTGTGTGACTCACAATTTTGCAAGGTAGCTGTCACTGTACTTCTGCGCAATCTATCTAGATGGCTAATCAGAGAACCAGAAAGGCGTCTGTTGGGATGATTGATGCCTAAGACTTGAGAGTGCCAAGAAATTTCATACACCATTTTCTGGAAGTTGTCAGGAGATCCAACTTTAAGGTAGAGTTTATATTGACGATGACAGGGACTTGGGGGCAGATGATATGGAGCTTCATCAGACCATCCTTCTGGGAGGTTAGATGGTTAATCTGTATCTAAGCCAACCTTTGTTTCAGCTCTATGTCTGAATGCTTTGTTTAAAACATTTTCAAGAACAAAAGCAACTTGACTATCAAGAACAAAGGGGACATTAACCAAAAAAGTATTGGAAAAGGCATAACAGGATGTTGAATTCTCGTGATTTAATCCTTTTCTTTGTTTATCTGTCGCTTTTTCTTTTTTTTTTTATTCAATACGTCCATAGTGAGATTTGAACTTTCAATCTTTCCCTTTGAGAAGGAAAGATCGTACTATTGGGCCAGAGGTCTTTTGACTCTGAACGTTTTCTAGTATCGTAAATGGATTTAAAAAATGTCAAAATTATGTTTAATGCGACAAAAATAGAATTCATGTTAAATGAAGGCATAATAAAAATTGGAGTAAAAAATTGTTAAAAGGACACTTTTGTCCACTAAATTTATATTTTAATTTTTCTTACTTTATTTTTTTAATTGTCTTCGATATACAGAATGTATATATAATTATATATATATACATATTTACTATATATGTTTGATTAACAAAGATTATATCATATATATATATATATACAAAAAGAAAAGTAGATGTTTGTCTATATATAGATACTCAATCTATATATACACACACGCAGGTGTATTAATGTGAGGGGAGGGAAAAAAAATAATAATAATAATAATTTAGGTTCACACACACACACGTGCGATTTTCATTCTATTGTAATTTTTTGTAATTTTTATATAAAAATGACACTTGATTTTTACAAATAAGCCTGGGTTTTTGGGAGAACGATGCATCAGATCAGCTCATTTTCTTTTTCTTTTTTTTGTGTACTCTCTATTATTTTATTTTGTTTTTTGTTTTTTCTCTGATGATAATGGTTGATCTTATGATTTAGAATGCACCAGATCAGCTCATTTTCATCAAACACCACCATTTTATTCAGAAAAATAAAAGCCAAAAATTAATCAGCTGATGTGACACAGCCTTCACATATTCCTTCACATATTCGTATCCAGACTACACACAATTCATCAACTTATTATCATCATAATGTCAACCAACAAAATTTAGGTACTTTGTCCTAATTGATACTTAAACTCTCAACAACCTTTGAGGGCGGTGCTAAATATATATGTGACATGCCTCTTAATGGTATCATGCACATCCAATCACGCAAACAACTATCATGTGCCAACAACAAAATCACAAAAGAAAAAATTAACAAAATTTTCCCACATAATTAGTATGCATGATCAAATATTATTAGGTGCATTGGTAAAATTTAAGTTCACTAACACGAACATATCATTTTAAATTTGAAATAGAAATAATTATACTTATTTTTGATGTAGATTGCTTAAATAACGGAGGCTCCCTTATAGTTTAAAAAATAACACTGATCTTTCCCTATAAGTGTTGATTTTGACCAATATTTGTTAATTGACTATTATACTATTGTACTTTTATTTGTTCAACATATGGACAAAATAGCATTTTCATGTTTTCTAAGGGTATTTTCGAGTTGTAAGTAAATTTTGAGCATGGTTATAAATTATGATAGGGTAGGTAAGTGTTACTCAAACCTGAACCAGATGAGAGGTCCATGTTATTTAGTCAATTTATAAGGGAGATAATTGTAATTATCATTTTGAAATAATATACTTTGTGGGAAATAATACATCAACAATGACAAGTTTTTTTTTTCCCAATCACTTAGGGTTGGCTAATGAATCTTATATTTCAATTCTGCTTTATCTAATATCCTAGCCTCACTCAAACCCTAGGACTGATCTAGAAATTCAAAGGGGTGAATTGCAAAAAAGTACAAATTTTGGGATGTAAAATCTGCCCCTCTGAGCCCGCAGTAAATCCATATCTACTCAAACCACATGCTATCGTATTATTCTTTACTAACTCTATTCAAAGTTAACTTTGGCCTTCGGCCTTCGACCTTCCTCTTCTCTATTATTTTTTACTAATTCTACTCAAAATTAACTTTGGCCTTTGGCCTTCGACGTTCCTTTTCTCCTAGTATTAGGACTAGGTCACTTTTTCTAATCGACATATTTAAATGTCTTTTTCTTATCACATATCCAAACCATTTTAATCAGCTCTCTCTCATTTTATCTTTAATTTGTGCTACTCCAATCATTTCTCAAATGTGATTATTTTTAATCGGATAAAACTTTCATTTCAATAGTAAGTTTTTGTTAGATTTGTGCAAAATAAAAACATAGGTTAAATTTGTCTTTAACCTTTCTTCCAAGTTGGATATAGCAAGTTGCCTAAGATACAGATATGATCACTACAAGGTGATAACCTTTATTTGGTATTCATAATTCTTATATTGTTATTATGACAACAATGATGAATTCACATTATTGGACACCATGCTTAGAATCAAATAGTAAATTTGAAAGAGAAATTGCATTGGCTCAAGGGCTGTCTCGTCATTAAGTGCTTGTCACAATTGTCATGTGGTGAAGTACAAGTGATGTTACTTTTGTGCCAATGGGATTTGCAAAAGATATATAATTTGTTTGTCGTTTCATATTTTCATTCGGAACATAACTTCTATTTTCAAAAGAAAAAAGTGATAAATCTTTGTCAATTTATGTGTTTGACATTTGAATATTGGTAATAGGGCTTCGTGATCAAAGGCAATCAGTCACCTCTATTATTACTTTTCAAATCTGGAGCATAGAAGTCTAACTTAACCACGTTTTAGCCCAAGTTATTGGGTAATATATACATGAACAAAATATATAGGGAATTATACATATATATAGAAAAGTGATCTCTTCTTTCTGGTGCAGAAGAAAATTTTTTTGCTCTTTTTATAGCATTAGATTAAATTTAATGGTCACATTCTAAACCCACCTATATACTTTTCTTTTAATATAAAATCGCTATCATTATTTCTATTTTTTAAATTTAATATTTACCAATACCACAAATTACAACAATAAAAGGTAAATGCCAAACAAATAAAAAATAAAAATCGCTTCACCTCTACGACGTGATTGAAAATTTTGTTTTCTTTGATATCTTTGTTGTTGTTTTACATATTAACTACCTTTCATACCTTGTTTATTTACCAAAAAAAAATTATGATGGTATAATAATAGTAGTATAAAAAAAACACTAAGAAAAACAATTAATGTACAAAAGAAAAATAGATTGAATTTCTAATTTTTAATTAACATGCTTTTAGAGTGATATACAATAATTTAAATTATAATCTATTAATTTTTTTATGGGTGAAGTGTTGTGCAAATCACAGGTTACCTTAAGTTGATTAAGTGAATAAAAAAATAGAGATTTTATTTTTAATTTTTTATTATTTTTTAGTCCATGTTTTGTATGTCAATAGTATATTTTAAATTTATTTTTCACACTCAAACAAATAGACAATGTCAATTTTAGTATCAAGTCATTGATGTAATTTTCTAACACTTATAACTTTTTTTAAATAAAACAAAATTTCGATTAGTGGTGAGATGTGATTTGGAGAGGTGGAGAGATTTGTATTTTTATTTTTTTAGTACTTACCTTTTATTGTTATTATTAATGATTTTGGTAAATATTAAATTTAGAAACTAGAAATATTGATAGTGGTTTTGTATTAAAAGGAAAGCCTATAGTTGAATTTAGAATGTGATTTGATGGTCACTATCAAAAATGAGAGAATTTGAGAACTAATATGTTATTGCGTAATATTACGCGATAATATGTTACCATATTTGATGAACCATATATATTGTCTCACTATCCCTTGAAATCAAGCCATATCAGATAAAGAGGCTGAGAATCAATTTTTCATAATTAATAGATTGCGGCTAATTTTAGGCGACATAAAAATTTTACAAGGATATAACTACTCTTTTATATTTTGTCCTATAACATTTTTTACTTAAAAAGTGTAAGTTTTTAAAAGAATAGTTTGTCCTAAAATGTCCCGTAGCAATATGTCAATTAACTTTATAGTACTATATTAAAGTGTCCTATAAGAAGCTCTCAAAAGTATAGCGGCGTTGACAGCAGGGGCGGAGCCAGAATTTAAATTCAGGGGCATAGTGGAATTTTTATTTTTATTTTAAAAAATAAGAATAAAAATTAAAATAAAAAGAAGAAAAGGACAAAAAAATGAATTTTGAAAGAAACAAATTAGAATATAATTAGATAAGTGGAATTAACCTTTTTAAAAGGTAATTAAAGAATTCAAAGAGTAAAAGATAAAAAATAGAAAAAGTTTTAAAAAAAATTAAAAATTAATAATTTTAGGGGGCATAATATACAAAATTCAATATATATATGTAAAAAAAAAAAAATTAAAAATCATATTTATACATAGGACGAGGCCAAGGCCAGGGGCATGTGTCCTCACTGAGCACAAGTTGGCTCCGCCGGTAGTTAGCAGTGATTCGGGAAGTAAATTTTGAAAGTCTCACTTTTGAATCGCACTCTTGACTTGAATAATTCGTGTTGTGGAGCCGATACGGACCAGGAGGAGAGAGAGAAAAGACAAAAAAAAAAAAAAAAAAAAAAAAAAACGAAAAAGAAAAAAGGGGTAAAGTGTGTACCATAGGAATATCTGGTGGCCAAAATAGAAATATGTAAACTTGAAAAAAGCACAACCATTTGACCACATTTGTTGTCAAACCAAGTAAATAGACATTTGCCGTAAAGGCCAAAGACAATTATACCCTCAGAAATCGCAAAGAAAAAAGAAAAAAGAAAAAAGAAAACCTTTTTATGACCCTTGAAGAAAGCGGCCCCAAAAATTTCTGGTCAACAAGGGGGGCTGTGCAGAAGGAATCGCCATTTTCTGTCTGTCTCTGCACCGCGTCTCTCTCTCTCTACTTTCTCTCTCCTCCTCATTCTCAGATTCACCAACTCCAAGGTTCTGAATCTAGAGAGAGAAAATCCACCCCCTAGAAAGGGAGAATCGATCATCAGAAACAACTGTTTCAGATAGAGAGGGGGAGAGAGAACTATCATCGAAGATATACATACATTCGCAGAGTGAGAGAGAGATCAGCAGAGATAAAGCTTGAATCGAAGAGGTATAGAGTGACAGAAAGAGATAAGAGTAGAGAAGTTGAGTAGTTGGAACTGTATTGGATCTATTCGGACTACCATGAATTCGAACTCTTTGATCAAATCGCTCGAATCGAAATTGGGAATATCATTTGGGTCCGAACCCATTTCTGATGTGGTGGTTTTGATTGTGACGACCTCTATTGCTTTGATCATTGGCTTGATTTTCTTCCTATGGAAAAGGTCGTCTGATCGGAGTAAAGAAGCGAAGCCTGTGGTGGTTTCGAAGCCATTGACGGTCGAGGTAGAAGAAGATGAGGTTGAGGTTGGTTCGGGGAAGACTAAGTTGACCATATTCTTTGGTACTCAGACAGGCACTGCCGAGGGATTCGCTAAGGTAAAGATCTTTCCTTGTCTTTTTACCCCTTTACTTAGTGCGAGGAGCTGATTGAGTTTGTTTTGTCTGTGTTGGATTTGTTTGATATATATATATGTGTGTGTGTGTGGGAAATTGGTATGCTTTGGAAGGTTAAGGCGCTGTTTTGAAGGTAGGGGTCAGATCGAAATTTGATGTGAAGGGTTTGAATTAGGGGAAGTGTTAATTAAAGTTAAAGAATTGATGAAGAGGGGAAACGGTGCCGTCTGTTTCTAGTTTCGCTTTTTAAGTTGAGGTGTTGAATTTAGGGCTTTGGACTCTGGATGGAGTCACCAAAGGTGGAATCTTTTAGAACCTCGAATAAGGATCAGACCTACAACCCTTTTGCAGAATCTATCTCGCTCTCTCACACACACAAACAGCTGCTTAATGTGGAATATTAGACTAAAAATTTCAAATAAGAATTTTTACTTTCTACTATATATATATATATATATATATTTTTTTTTTTTGCAGAATCTGTATCTAATTTACTTGTTAATGTGGATTGTTGAACTTAGTATCTTCACTAAGAATCAAACCCACAACCTTGCTGAATCTTTCTCTCTCTCTCAGTCACACACACATTTTACAATTTGAAAATTTTCATTCATATTGCCTCATTCACCTAATTGTGACTAGGCAACCAAACATCCAACCTACCGGGGCTACAAAGATAGTTATTAAATCGTTAGCACCAGAGTTCAAAATAAACCAACCTAATGGCCTAGTGTTGTTAAAGGCGCAACCGAGGCTCGAGGCGCAGGTCTAGCGCATGTTGTCATTCCGGGCTCATGACGTTTACTAGGCCCAGTGTTGTTAAAGGCGAGCCTAGGCGCGAGACTCGAGGCGCAGGTCTAGCGCATGTTGTCATCCCAGGCTCACCGATGTTTACTAGGCGCGCCTCGGTTGCGCCTCATCCTTTTTGTCGTTGCGTCTCGTCTACGAAATTCCCTTCTGTCACAGTTTCAGCAGACCAGCAAATGGTTTTCCCAGTCTCATAACAACGTTATATATATGCTCAAATGATGATCTCAATGGTATAAGCAATGTATATGAAAATCACAGCACAAGAGGACTCTGTGGTTAATGTGTCATATTTGTAGTTCTTTGAGCTTTGCATATATATCTCAAGCCTTTAAATCATAAAACACATCATCACTCATTCATTCATCAATTCTTCATGTATACGTGCTTGTGTGTATCTTTAGGCCCTCCACTTTCTTTTTTTCTTTAATTGAAATTACAAAAGAGTTCATATATTATAAAATACTTGATTCCTTTATTTTCTGCACCCCACTAATCTTTTTTTAAAAAACTATGATTATTCTATTTCTTAAGCCAAAAAGGGTACTTTTGGCAACTTAATAAACAAATAAGAAAGCCCAAGCGTAGGAGAGAAGAATCTTTTGTTCAAAAGAATAAACAAATAAGAAAGCCCAAGAGTAAAAGTGTCAACCGAACAGAGCAAGAGTGAGACCGTGAGACGAACGACGAAGCCCTAGTAGCAGAGATGTACGACGAAGCAACGTCAGCTCTTTCTTCTTCTTCTCTCTCCTCTTCTGCTTCTCTCTCCTCTCTTCTCCTGTACTCCTCTCTTCTTATCTTTGTTTACATCTCTCTCTTTGTCTAGTTCTCTTCTCTCTGTCTTTTTTTTTTTTGAGGGGCTCTGTTTTTTCTCCATTATTTTCTTTAACACTTTGTCTCTCTTCTCGTCTACTTCTCTCTCTTCATCTACTTCTTCTGTCACTACGTTTTTATTTTATTTTTGCTATGCTTTTTCTTTTTTTTCTTGTTAACTGTTTTTTATTTTTTTGTTAACAGATTTATATCTTTTTGTGCTTTGTTTTGCCATTTAAAAAAAATATTCTGCTTTGCCTTTCAAGAAAAAAAATTTCTGCTCTGTTTTATTGTTGCTGGATGCTTGTTTAGCTGATGGATTTACTTTTTTATATTTGATATTAATTTTTAGAATATTGATAGGACTTATGAGATATGAATGTTTTTATGGTAGTTTAAATTTTCAATTATGCGCCTCACTTCACTCAGGTGCGCGCCTCGCGCCTAGGCTCCAAAGGACCTCTAGCTCCTTGGGCTTCTAATAACACTGTAATGGCCTATAAATTTTCTTTTGTTATTATTTTTTTTTTGAACTAAAATCTGGAACCTAGGTTTTAGTAACAAATTGGAAAGCCGGGAATGCTTTAGCTTTATGACTATTATGGATTGAACTCTATAGAAATTGCGGTGGAAGATCTTTGATGACCCTTGTTTACCTTTTGTTTTAGCTTTAATGTGTTTGAGCTGAGGTGTAGCTCCAATAGTTGTATTTCATAGTGCAAACAAGATAACTAAGTGCTGCAATTGTTTTAAATGAATTGTCTATCATAGGAATTTGTTTTAGTATATCAGTGAAAACTCTCACTGGGAAGGTAGGAATGCCTTGATGACATAGCAAGGTGTCCTTTACCAAATATTCATAGTGTTTATGTGGCTAAAGTGTTTAATAAAGAAAGCTTAGAGTGTGTTTCAATCGTGAATTTTGGGTGCAATAGAAACAAGAGGGTGGAGGAAGTACTACCCCTTTTGTGGGTGCTATAGTGAAGGGGAATAGAAAACGGAAGCAATTTCTGTAATCCCTCCAGGCCCCCTTTTTCTTCCCTCTCAAAATTGGGATCATTTCAGGAGAAGGGGAAAGTGAACCATTATTTCATAAGTGATTTCCAATTTTATTCCTTCATCTTTCTGAAATAAAGCATTTAATTTCTATTCACTCCATTAGTTACCACACAAGACGGGAGAGGGTTCTTTTTTCCTCTTTTTTTTCCTCCCTAAACATAATTTTTTTTGAGAGATTCGCACCTTCTTTTTCTCCTTTGGTCTTGTGTAACACTACCTTTCTTTCCATTTCCCTCCTAAACTCCCAAGTACCCCATTACAATACGAGAGTCACAATGTTATATATTGTTTTCAATAGGCATTCTATATACATCGTTAACACAAAATGGAAACACATACACATTGTCCTTGGACATGTCTCTTTAATGTTCTTACATGATACTGTTGTGCTCTCTTGTGTTAATCTCTCATCATAGGCATTGGCTGAGGAGATCAAGGCAAAATATGAAAAGGCAATTGTCAAAGTTGTTGACTTGGTATGTTTTATGGAACTAAATAATGACTTTTGATGAGAAGCTACTTCCAGAGTTAACCATTTGGTGTATCCTTTTGTTTATGATTTGAATTAGGATGATTATGCTGCTGATGATGATCAGTATGAGGAAAAACTTAAGAAAGAAACTTTGGCATTTTTCATGGTGGCAACGTAAGATAGATCGTTTCTTTTATTTGCCATATATAGCATTTGTCAATGTATTTGGATTTTGGGAAGCCTGGAACTGATTATATTTGAGCCTAACTTTGTAGTTATGGAGATGGAGAACCAACTGATAATGCTGCAAGATTTTACAAATGGTTTTCTGAGGTTGGTAACTTTGTTGCGGACAAGTAATTGCAATACTTTGTTTTTCGGGTTTTGTTTTGATGTTTTGTAAATAATCTCAGGGAAATGAAAGGGGATCCTGGCTTCAGCATCTTTCATATGGTGTTTTTGGTCTGGGTAACCGTCAATATGAACATTTTAACAAGGTAAATTTCTTAAAATATTCATGTTCATTCATTTTGTTTTGTAACCATACTATCTGATGGCAACTTTTTTGAAACAGATAGCAAAGGTGATAGATGACAAATTTACCGAAGAAGGTACATTGCCTATATTTATTCACACTTCATCACTATAATCTAGTCAATTGATCATCTGAAGTTCTTTACAACAACGTAATATTATTGACCACATTGTAGCCATGATTGGATCTTTCATATTCCAGACACAGCTACATCAAAGTATTGTGACTGTTAGTTATTTCATTTTAGCCCTTTCAAATATAATACACGCTATTAATTTTACCTGCTATTACTTCTAAAAAATGATGACACAAGAAAATCTTAAACTTTTCTTGTGGTACACTATGCAGATGTTTTGAATATTTCTACTGCTGTCTACATTTTGTGTAAATTGGTTTTTAACTTTGGTTGAACAATCTCTCCTCTATTTAGTTACTATAATGTGTCTAAATGCTGAGTTTGAAAAGAACCTTATATGCCCGGAGTACTTGTGGTAAAACTTGTTCAACAACTGGACCATACTTTCAGTGAACCTTCTTGGTAAAACTTGAAATTGTCATTTCTTTTGTGATATTGTCGACCATTCACCCGTCTTGCTTAGAGATTTTTATTTTTTATTTTTTGATAAGTCTCTTGGTTAGAGTGTTGTATGAGGTATTTAATCTCAAAAGACATTAATAATTTGATTGAGAAACATAAAATAGGAAGTAGTTGCATGTATTGTGAAATCAATTAAGCTAGAAATTTATTAATAACTATTTAATGGATTGTCATTCAATTATGCTCTTACCTAACTAGTTAAGTCTCAAAAGACATAGTTCTCGTAATTTCTTTCTCGAACATGAATTGAAGCATTTCGTAATTTACCGAGTTGATGATGATTGAGATTTCATATTCATTAAGTGAATGATAATTGGACCAACTTGGTTTTGTGAAGGATGAAAGGGAATTAATTTCTTGCTTTTTTATGGAATTTGATGTGATAGGCATTTGCAATGTGTCAGCCTCTATGCATTCTTTTAGCAAAGCTGCCGAGTAGCTGCTGTAACATTTTCAGGTCTCAAAGATGGTGGTTATCAATTACTTGGAAATAGCCTTGAGAACTCTAAAACCTAAATGAGTGAAATTCTTGGCATTTGCCCCCGAGTTGGCAGGAGTACTACATATAAATACCAAAGGCTTATATATTCCTTTGCTAGGTGCTGGTCAATGTAGTTGACATTCTCATCTATGTTATTCATGGCAGGTTTATTTCAGTTGGCTCTTGGCAGGAAAATGCTATTGTTACATGACCCACGATTCTATATATTTTTCCTTTTTTGCTAGGTGCTAAATCAATTGCTATTCTGATTTATGTTTCTCTCATCCTTCTGATTATAAATTCAGTTCCTTTTTTCTAGTTGTAAGTGGTATTAGTTCGAGTGGTGTGGAAGTGGTACATTCTTTCTTGGAAGTGTGGAAGTGGTACATTGTTGAGTGGTTGATTGTCTATTTATCGTTGTACAGAAGTTGATATTATTATTATTATTATTATTGGGGTTTGGGGGTGGGGTTGGGGTGTCCTATTCTTTCCGTGGACTTGATTTATTGTGTGTTTATTGCAAGGGAGCAGATGTTGACAATTGTAAGAGAAACAGGGTGGGGTGGGGGGTGTTCTTTGTTTCTCCTTCCATGCTTTCATTTCGAGTAATTTTCTAAGAAAATATAGGATGTACTGAGTATATATGCATCATATGAGAATAAGTGGTGTCTGTTTTGTTAACTTCAAATGTTGGCAAGTTCCTGTCCTGGTTGTGGCAGAGATTAGTGATTGTTTGCGTCTATTTCTTGATGGCTCCAACAAAAAGTTGTACTCGTGTTTGTTATCTTAGGTGCAAAGCGTCTCGTTCCAGTTGGTCTTGGGGATGATGATCAATGCATTGAGGATGATTTTTCTGCTTGGTATGCTTTATTGTTATTGTTAATATTTTAAATTTAGTCTAATACTGCAACCATCAACTGATATCTATTATTTTTTGATAGTATCAACTGTTATTTATTGTTAATGTGGAAGATTCTATACAATATAAGACTTCAGTATTTCTGCCATTTTAACTGTAATGGTGTGGTTCTTCTGTTTTAGGCGAGAATTATTATGGCCCGAGTTAGATGAATTACTTCGAGATAAGGATGACGTGAACACTGTGCCCACACCATATACTGCTGCTATTCCTGAATACAGGGTAGTGTTTTATGATAATATGACATCTAGTGAGGATAAGCACTTGAACATGGTTAATGGGAATGCTTCATATGATATTCACCATCCTTGCAGGTATTCAGTAATGCGAATATGTCTAATCTCTTTCATCTTTTTTACTTTTTTCTGAAATTGGTGTTGTTTCCATTGTCTAAAGAGTTAATGTCGCTGTTCAAAGAGAGCTTCACAAACACGAGTCTGACCGCTCTTGCATTCATTTGGAGTTCGATATATCAGGCACTGGCATTACGTAAGTTTTTAGCTGCCCAAGTCTTCCAAGTAGACATTCAGATTCAATTTCTTTATTTCTGTGGTGGTAGTTGTAAGTTGAGATCAAATTTAATTTTGAAGTAACTGATAACCTGGTCTATCTATGAGATCGACGATAAAAAGATAAATACAATTGCTGCATGGAGAATTTCCCTGCGATTAAATTCTGTGGTGCATTGTTTTCCTTCTTGGGTGAGGTTCAGTTTGTCCATAGGAAGCACAGACACTCCTCTAGGGGATGCCGTCGCGGTGTCTGACACTGACGCGCTGGACGCAGCCCGACATGTATTCGACACGGCAAGATGTCCTGGAGTTGGTGTCAGACACTGCACGCGTCGAACACAACTAGACATGTGTCTGACATGGCTAGAAGTGTCTTGGAGTTTGAATAATTTCTTTTCTTCTATTTTGGTTGAGCAAGGTTGGAATATGGCATGAACACGGTGGACACATGTTAAGGACACATTTGAAACACTTTCAGTACACAACAGAGGTAGTTTTGATTTTTATTTCTTAAACAGGGGTCTTAAATGCAAATTTAAAAATAAATTATGGATTAATAGAAAATAATATGGAGTTTTAGAAAACAAAACAATAGTCATCCAATTTTAAGTTTCCAATTACTGATAAATGAGCAAAAATAATTTGTGTTGTATATATTATTATTATTTTTTCTTAGTTGGTATTCACACACACATGCCTCCACTGAGGCTTGAACCCCTGACCTCCTTTTGGGAAGTAGGGGCTTAGTACCGCTAGGCCACAGGCCTATTGGTAATGTTGACATATCTTTGTCGTGCCTGTGTCCTTTTTTTTTTTTTGAAATTTGTCATTTTTTTGTCTGTGCCCCTTGTCCATATCCGTGGTTATTCATAATTTCCAGTTTCTACTAAATCTCAATCCAAGTAATATTTGACATTAATGAGGTACATCTTTGGCAATAAACAAGTACTTATAAAAAATGTTCCCCTTTCAAGTTGAAAGTAAATATGCGCCTTGCTGGAGTTTCAATTTGATTTCATTGTAGCATTAATATATGGGTTGAGATGGTAATGTGATTATGTTGTATCTGTTATTAGACAAGGGGATAGGATAACGATATTAAAAATTTGTATTGGGAGGAAAAATTGTTCATATAATTAGTGATTACGCACCCCGAGCAGGATTAGATAAACAATTTAAGACACAATTTTGATTTATCAAAAAAAAATTTAAGAAACAATTTTGGGAACATATGGATGAATTAATTCAAGCCTGAAGGAGAAAAAATAAATTGAGACATGAGGAGACTGCACTTATTTCAAGTTTTTATCAATGGCTCCTTTGTTTTCAGTACACTGTACTTTTTATTCCTTAGCGCAATGTCTTTTTTCATTCCAACTCTTTTTTTTTTTTTCCTTATTGTATGTGTAGGATAATCCAGTTAGCTGTAATTTGTTCTTCAATCAGCACTAATGAGGGCTGATCCTTTTATAGTACAACTATTAATGACACTTCAATTTTCTAGACTGACTTATAAGCCACCCATAAAGCATTAATAACAGCTTTCACTATTCCCATGACATTTTTCATATTCTCATATCATGACTAGACTCTTTCCAAGACACTATTGACTGCATCAATTGTGACTAGACACTTTTCAAGGCACTATTAATTATTTGCAAACTGCCACATGTGCACGTTCAACCGCAACAAGTACTGGCGCTTTCAACAGCTCCGATGGTTCCAAGACCGAACAACTCACAGACAATGGCAGAAAATACAGTGCAGAATAATTTTCTGCCAAATTTGGTTCAAGTTTCTAACCCTTTACCTTATATTCCAATTCCTCAAATATCACCACAGCCTATGCCTCTTCTGCCAAGAGCGCAAATGGTACAAGTTCCTCCACATAGGGAGTCCGGACTCGGGGGCCACCAAGTAAGGTGGAGAGTTAATCCTTTGTTTGCCCCAAACCCAAATCCTATGGTATTTGGGGCCAAATCAGGCTGACCATCCCAATGTTTGTTTTGCTTGAGAATGTTTAGCAGAATGCACAACCAGCCAAATCATTTGCTTTCAATTGAGAGCAATTGGCAGAATTTTTCCAACAAGAGTATGGTTTTGTTGCGAGAAGGGTTGGGTGGCCAATGTATCATAAACCATACCCGCATTTTATTGATGAAGTAGGATACCCTAGAGGTTAAAGAGTTCCCGACTTTGTTACCTTTACTGGAGATGGAACTTGATCTACGGTCTATAACACATCGGCCGATTTACTGTTCAATGCGGTGAAGCCAAGACAAACCCGTGGCTGAAAATGAGATTGTTTCCTGACTTTTTGACTGGTCCAGCCTTCACTTGGTATATTAATCTTCCTCCAAATTCAATACGCACTTGGCAAAAATTGGAAGAAATATTCCATACACAATTTTGTCGGTCGGAGCCTGAGGTTTCTATGGCCAATCTGTCTAGATTAACCCAATTTCCTAATGAATCCGTTGAGACCTTTATTTCAAGGTCTAGAAGAGCAAGACACAAGTGCAATGTTGCTTTGCCTGAGACTGAATATGTAAAATTGGCACTTAACGGACTTGATTTGGAGTTTAAGAAAGAAATTTGAAGGCATGGAATTTGGAGACTCATTTGATTTGGCTTGAAGGGCTGCTAGATATGAGTCCATTCTTAAAGAAGAAAAAGATGGAAAAGATTTTTGCAAAGGCAATTATCACTGAGTTCCCAATTATGAGGTTTTTCTCAGTAGATTTTGATGACGATCAGCTAATGTTACTGAAATAAACATAAAAAAGGCTTATCTTTGTGAGGCTTTATTTATATTTTTTTTTAAATTTTTGATAAGTACTTTGTGAGGCTTCAGTTAGAGCCAAGTCTAATGATAGTGGCTTGCATCCATCTGCAGTTTCTACCAAGAAAGGTATGACAGAAGCAAGTAAAAATTATTCTTTTGATATAACCAGGGCAGAAAATTTTTTTTGACTGATAAACAAATCAACTTGCCTTGTGGTCACATAATTTGGCACAAAATTCCTCCTCAAATGAATTGAGAGGAAAGGGTTATTGCAAATATAATGATTATTGGGGGTCTTTCGACCAATAATTGTGTTGTTCTTCAAAATGCTTTACAGAAAACAATAAGGTACTTTAGGTTCTGAGAAAAGAAACCCGAGTTGATGGGTATTGATGGTGATCCATTTCCAGCCATAATAAGTAGCAATTTTATTGGGCTTGCGGCCTTTAGCCACCTAATGAAGAAGGTTAGAGTCATTAGACTTGGAAGAAGTCACAGCAGAAAATATAGCAAGGCAAAAAGATCCTGAAAATATTCCGCAAGACAGTCAAGGCGGAAAGATAATGGAAGAATTAGAAAGACAACTCCAGGAGGCTCAACTTGCATTAATTCAACAAGAGTGTTGTCCAAAATGTAAGGGAACCAAGGAAGAAAAAGATTCAGTCAAGGAAGAAAAAGGTAAGAATTTCACTCTCAAATTGAATTTCCTTGAAGGCGTCATCTTCAAAAGACCAGACATTTCAAAGAAGAAATCAGCCAAGAGTATGAAGGAATTTTTAGCTGAGAAAACAAGTGGTTGAAAGATTGATTTTTTCACCACAACACTTTTGGCCTTTATTTCAGTATGGCAGAAAAGGATACGGTAGAAAGAGGTATGACAGAAAGAGGAATGGCTGGAAGAGGCACAGCAGAAAGAAGTATGGCAGAGAGGAGTATGTCAGAAAGAGGTACGGCTTAAAGAAGTATGACAAAGAATTATGCTAGAAAGAAGACAGACAAGGAAGAAAGCAGAAGGCCACGAAGCTTAAGAAAGAAATAGTTCAAGAAGGATAAAAAAATTACAATAAGAAGAAATTGGGTGAAGACTTAATGGAATTATTAATTTCTAATAAGGAAGAACTTTCAGCAGACTCAAAATTCTGTCATATTCATTGGTCAACAGGTGTCAAAATTTTACAAATAAGATATGTTGATATAAAATTTGAGGGGCATTTGTTTGCACCCAAATAATGATTGACAATCCCATTCCGATTGTCTATGGAATTCAAACCTGAACTCTATTTATGATTCATTATTGCTATCTCATCTGCCCTTTCTTATTTCAGTGTATCAATTTGTGACGAGGCTATTTTATATTTGTTTTCCATATCTAATCATATACGAATTCTACGTATTTTCACATTTAGGATTTACATATACAACATATATCATTGTCAAGAGTTAATTCCTTATTAGTTAGATATTTTGAAAAAAAAAGGTAAAAAGTAAGAATTAGGTTGAGCCATATGTATGAAAGATTATACAATAATGATGTGTTTGACAAATCAAATACCATGGTCTTGGCTGAAAATGACGATGGAGCATTATACGGTGTTGACGTGGAATTTTACTAACGACATGGCAATGAGAATTATGGATTCACGATCTAATAATACACGCAAAGCACGCAAAAGGAGTTTGTAGCAGTTGCAATTTTTGAATTTGAGTGACACATGACGCATTCTGCAGTTAAGATGAGGATGATGTAGGCTACAACTGACGCTTATCCGATTAACTGCCATCAGATTAGAAAAAATATAAGTTTCTGCAGAGAAAGAAAGGTCCCTGACCATTCCAACAGCTGCACATTTCAATTAGTTTCTTTTATCAATGTCTCTTTTATTACAATGCATTGTATTTCTTTTCCTTAGCGTAATTTCCATTTAGTTCCTGAACTTTTCTTCCTTACTGTATTTGTAGGATAATCCAGTACTTCTATTTTCGGCCTTAGTTTGTTCTTCAATTGGTACTGTTGTCAGTTTGCAAGTAATAAAATATCAAGTTTCAGTTCGTTTCTACCATTGATTCCTTTAAGTTAAAAGTCCTTATCTGTAAAGGCAGAAAGAACATTACACATTCGCTTGATACATTATTTGGCTTCTTGAAATCAAGTTCTAATTGGACTCTGGCAAGCCCTTTTGCTCATGACCGAAATCCCAGAAGATTTTAGCGCCAAATAATAATCAAAAGAGTTTTCTGTAGAGTTAAAAGAAAAGCTGAGTTTCTAAACCATGATGATAACATGTGGTTATATTACTGTTATGGCCTTGATAGAGATGAACATTGAAACAAGATTCATGTAATCCCAAATAGTTTGAAAAAATGCTTTGTGGAATTCAGTAGACTACTCATCCATGACAGTTGAAGTCATTATATTGATTTTTTATTTTTTATGTAATTAGTATTTTGCTTTGAGTCTAGTTACATAAAATATTGTATTCTGAAGTCTGAACTATATTTCTTTGCTTAGTTTATAAAGTCTTATTCTGGTCTTCTTCTGTAACTTTACTTTACTTTATTTATTGTCCATTGTAAAACTGTAAAATTGATCTTTGAATTTTTACGAGATATATATATATATATATATATGTAGAGTAATGATCTCTTGCTCACCAGTGAGAAAGAACCTTTCTCCACACCAAGCATGGCAATCGTTAGGGTGTAAAGAAGGTAATTACCAAAAAACATAACAATCATATACAACGGTCACCATGCTTGGTGTGGATAAATTTCTTGCTCACTGGTGAGCAAGAGATCATTTCTGTATATATATATATATATATATGTAGTCTCTTGCATTTTATTGATACACTGCCATTTGATGTTTTTTTTCTTATTTGTCGATTACTTGTATACTATCTAGGTTGAAAATTATTCTCTTACACTGATCAATACTAAGTAGTGATTTATTTTTTTCCTTTTCTTAAGTAGTGATTTCATTCTTTCCTTTTCTTTTGGGGAAAATTATATTCTGTATCAGATATGAAACTGGAGACCATGTGGGTGTTTTTGCTGAAAATTGTGATGAAACTGTTGAAGAAACAGCAAAATTGCTGGGTCAACCTTTAGATTTGCTCTTTTCAATTCACACTGACAATGATGATGGTACATCCTTGGGAGGTTCATTGCCGCCCCCTTTTACTGGTCCTTGCACCCTTCGCACTGCACTGGCACGTTATGCAGATATACTGAATCCCCCTCGCAAGGTTAAACATTTTCAGTTTATCAGTTTATGCTTTTTTATATTTTTTCCTGGTCCGATTTATACGACTCACAATAATAGTTATTCTCATAGTAAAAACAATTGCATTTTCAGGCTGCATTAATTGTTTTGGCTGCTCACACGACTGAACCTAATGAAGCAGAAAGGCTTAAGTTCCTGTCATCACCTCAGGGAAAGGTAAACAAGTGTCTTTTTTATGCTTTTTTTCTTCTTTTTTATTTGTTTCTTTTTGTTATTTTATTTCATAGGTTTGTGCAGTTGAAAGTAGTTAAAAAATTATCTTGTTCTATTTGCTATCCCGTTCAACATACTCTTTTGCTTGATTCATTTTGTTTATATTTATGTTGCTTTGTCATCACCCAGGATGACTATGCGCAATGGGTTGTTGCAAGTCAAAGAAGCCTTCTTGAGGTAATGGCCGAGTTTCCATCAGCAAAGCCTCCGCTTGGTGTATTTTTTGCAGCAGTAGCCCCTCGCTTACAGCCACGTTACTATTCCATCTCGTCCTCTCCTAGGTGATTTTTTCGTACCATGCCCTCTAGTAAAAAGGAACTTTTCTGATATGCAGAGATCTCAGGAATATGCTTTCCTTTCTTTTCTTCGTGCAGATTTGCTCCCAACAGAGTTCATGTGACATCTGCTTTAGTATATGGTCCAACTCCCACAGGCCGAATTCACAAAGGGGTGTGCTCAACCTGGATGAAGGTATGAACAGAGTCACGGGACACATATCAAGAGTCGTGTTTCTATTTTGTGGTGTTATTGTTATGCTATACTTGGTTAAACTTAGAACTTGTCTTTAGCTTTATTGGTATCTAACATCATCCAGGTGTATCATATTAAATCAGAATGCAGTTCCCCTAGAGAAAAGCCGTGACTGTAGCTGGGCTCCTATTTTTATCAGGCCTTCTAATTTTAAATTACCGGCCAATCCTTCAACTCCAATTATCATGGTGGGACCTGGTACCGGCTTGGCACCTTTTAGAGGATTTTTACAGGTTTGGAATGAATTCATGATTTGTGGGCTTATCATGTCTATATGAGATCTTTTTCCCCTTATATTATTGATATGTTTTGCAGGAAAGATTGGCCCTGAAGGAGTATGGTGCTCAACTCGGTCCTGCTTTACTATTCTTTGGATGTAGAAATCGCCGAATGGTAAGAATCATAGCTACATTCACTCTTCTTGAGAGGGATAATCATTTGAATGCACTTGTGAGACTGTGCTGCATGGTTTTTAACTTGATCTTTATTTGTAGGATTTCATTTATGAGGACGAGCTCAATAATTTTGTTGATCAAGGTGTTATATCGGAGTTGATTGTTGCATTTTCGCGGGAGGGACCACAAAAGGAGTATGTTCAACATAAAATGATGGATAAAGTAAGTCAATAGCAATCACACAAGATATTGAGACAAATCATAGAATGGTGCAGTTCATTAGTTGTACTTTTGTGTGCAGGCATCATACATATGGAATATAATTTCCCAAGAGGGATATCTTTATGTTTGTGGTGATGCCAAGGGCATGGCCAGAGATGTTCATCGCACATTGCACACCATTGTACAAGAGCAGGTAGGGACTCTCTCTTTCTCTGTCATCATGATAATTTCATACTCAATCATTGGCAACCTTTTCTTTGGAAGGCGCAACTTCCAAACATTGGTCAACAATTTTTTTTTGGAAGAGCCCATCTTATGGCAGGCATTTTTTTTGAGGGCACTTATTCTAAACTTTGCTCAACAAATATTTTCTGGAAGCATCCGTCATATTGGATAGGTTTTAAGGAAAACCTTCCCCAAATAGTTGTTTTTATCCGTTTCCGCCCCTTTCAAACTAAAATCACAACCCTTCAAATCATCGTTTTTCTCAATTATACTTGTTCATCTTTCTAAACTAAAACCATTACCTAGCTACACCATATACTCGGGTATAACCGTATGTAACAATCCCTAGGTATTGGATTGTAGTCGGCGTATCATCATCTCATCATCATCATCATCCTTGCCTTAATCCCATATGGATGGGATCGGCCACATGAATTCTCTCTCCAAGGTTTTCTATTATATGCCAATTCACCTACTATAGTTAACCTTTAAAAATCATTTTTAATAATATCTCATGCCATGTTATTTTTGGCTCCCCTCTCCATCTCTTACCTTCTAAACTATTGGTATTGTTTGACTGGCGGGTCACTAGGTCTCCAATGCATATGTCCAAACCATCCAAGTCTATTCTCTCGAATTTTCTCACCCATGGGTGCTAGACCTAATTTTCCTCTCACACTTTCATTAGTGACCTTATCTCTTCTGGTCACTCCACTCATCCATCTTAACATTCTCATTCCGCTATAAGAAGGCATTGTTCTTGTTCTCCCAATTGCCTTTATGACAATAAAAATGGAACAACGCTAGGAATTGGTGCACAGTCAGCACATAACTCCAAAAATATAGAAAGAATCTAAATTGAAAGTAAAAAGGTAATTATCAACCTACTTAAAAAAAAAGGTAATCTTGATATGGTGTTTGGATTATGGGTTTCTGGAATTACCTGAAGTTCTGTATGTTGTTTTTTGGTCTCGCAATCCAAAGCTTCCGTCTCTTTTTAGAAATATTGCATGTATACAGATCACGCGGGATCTTTGTTGTTTGATGCCATCTGGATTGGTAAAGCAACCACATATTTTCTTCATAATATATTCATTTTTTGTTTCTATGTTTCAAGATTTTTGCAAGAAAATTATTTGTTGACATTGCACAAAGTGTGTTACTTATAGATAGATCTATCATTTCAGTGTTTTATGTGTCCTACATTATTTATCTATTTATATTTTAGGAAGAAAATTTACTTAAGTGAACATAGGGGTTGATTTCGCATAGTTTCTGCTGTTTCAGTATCTGGGTTATCTGTTCTGCTCGAAATCAATTTTATATAAGCGTTGAGCTCTGAAGCACCCACAAGAGCTATAGCAGGATAGCTCGTGTTGGTTTAGTAAAAAGCCTAATAACTTGAATTTACACTTAAATTTATTTCAGGAAAATGTCGACTCGTCGAAGGCAGAAGCTATCGTGAAGAAATTCCAGATGGATGGACGATATCTCAGGGATGTCTGGTAACAAGTTTTTAAAGTTATCCCGCTCTCCAGTCATTTGCCACATCTTTGGCAGGTATGGAGGTGGATTCATTTTTATATATTCTCTCATTCTTGGATGACATGCTCCTATCTTCCTTTCTGGAGTTTTTTCAGCAGAACAACACTACGAGTAAGACATGAATTTCGTTCTGCTAGATGATTGTTTGTTCATTTATTGGAGAGGAAGTAATTTATTTGAAGTTTGTAATTTTGTTGGTTCAACTTTACACACAAAGTATCATATTGTTTAGTTACAATGTCGTCAAAACACAATATTATAGGTCGCCGTAGGTTGTTTTGAGTGGTTCTGTAAGAATAATTATGTAAAAGTAGACCAGGTAGAGGTAGAATACCGCTGACATTTGCTCTTTTTGAAGAGACCTAGAAAAATATTCATATTCTTCAAGTCTTCGATCATTTTGTTGTTAGACATATTGTTTTTGTCGTGTGGTCCGTGTTGACAGTACCCCAGTGGTGTTGAGATTGGATCTTCAATTCTGGCGAGTAAAGATTGTGACAGAACTTTTTTGCATATTGGAATGAATACGCTAAATGCATTGCAGTTATTTCGCACTATTTGTGGTGGAATTTTGAAACTCGAAATCGCGCACTCCTACATTCATGGTGGAATGTTTGAAGCTCAAAAGAGCGGTTTAATGCTGAAAGCGCATTTCCTGAAGATTAGACTTGGACAAAGAGCTTGTAAACTAGTAGAATCTCAAGAGACATTTTAATTTTAAAAAAGCTACGAAACAAAAAGTTTACAAGAACAGCTTAAAAGTGATTTTAGAATTCGGGGTTGGGTTTAGGTTTATTGATTGCTTAACTTGAGCCAAACCCAATGGCATTACCTCCTGGGATTTGCCATGAGATATACATTTATATATATATTAATATACATCTTATAAAAAAATCGATTTTAGAATTCGGGGTTGGGTTTAGGTTTATTGATTGCTTAACTTGAGCCAAACCCAATGGCATTACCTCCTGGGATTTGCCATGAGATATACATTTATATATATATATATTAATATACATCTTATCAAAAAATAAAAATAAAAAATTGAAGCACCAAGGTAGAAAATGGAACTTGAGCAGCTTGGCGAACTTCAAGTGAGATGGCTCCCGTAAATTTTTTAGTAGTGCCAAAGTATGTTGCTTACTCCAGAACAATTTTCTTTTGTCCTCACTATGTAATATTTATGTAATACTTGGTATAAAGAAACAAATTGGAATTCCAAATGGCCATCCTACTGGCAAAGATTCTGACCTCGCATTCCAGCATTCCAGAGGTCGGGAGTTCGAATTCCCTTGAAATATTTTGTATCTGTCCATTGACAGATTATGGGGTGCTTTAAGAGGCTGGACTTAAGTCCGACAATCCTCCTTAACGGCTGTCGCTCCCGCTTTCACGCTTTGCATGCGCTTTCGCTCCCATTGCCACTATTTGTGACTAAATTTTACCGTTTTCGCGCTCTCGCTCCCGTTCCTACTTTATGTGACATAGGACTGGACACCTCCATAAACTCTTAACTATTGAAGTTCATCTAAACTAATGCAATGCTACCGTCAGGAGATAGAAACTACAAATAAACTTGGCACCTCAATGTTGTTTATTTTCGGGCCATTTGATCCCTAGTTTGGACTATCCGATGACACACATGAAGAACTTGTAGAAAAAGTGTCCTAGTCACCAATGATCTAATATAGAACCTAGGAAGAGAGCAAAAAGTGCAATCACAAAGATCTGCAAAACGATCATATATAAAATAAATATAATCAATATCTTTTCAATTTTTATTTTCTAAGGTAATGCAAAACTATCTACAAGAAGTAGATTGTTCAAATGTGGTGCCTAGGACTTCTTGCTTTTGTTACATTTTGGAAAGAGAAAAAAAAAAGAGACTAAACAGGGAAAAAAAAAAAAAAAAAACTCAATGCCAATCTATTTTGGTGGCAATGCAGATAGATCACTGTATTGTTTTTGTAATGCTGGACTCATGCATGTGAAAATTGATGGCGTCGGCGGCTTTTGCTTCTGCTTCTTTAATCTAACCCCAAACAAGAAACTCCGTAGAGGTAGTTTATGCCGGCTTGATGAGTTCTTGTGATTGTGCTTTGATTCAGAAATCCCAAGTTCTTCTTCCAATTTCGACAGAGTCATCTGGATTTCAACCTGGAGTCGTTTCACGTGTTCTAGACCTGCCTGCAACTCCTCCGCGACTCTGTTGTTTTCCTGTCTCATGTTCAGAACCTCCCCTTGAAACTTTGCAGCCTGGTATTCACTAAGTGCAGCGTCTTCTGCTTTAGACCCTGCCTTTGACAATCTTGATATCTCTTCATGAATGTTGCTGAGAGACAATAATCTATTTTCCAAGTCATCTTCCAATACCGTGTTCTGTTGCAGCCACAATCCTAATTCACTTTGTATCTCCCTCAGGTGCTTGTAAATTGGGCGCGCATCTGAGTTTATTGATTGATGATGATGCTTAGAAGATCCCTCTTGCTTCTTATTCTCCCTCACTGGCATTAATTCTGCTTGCAAATCCTCAACTGAACTCTCGAATTTCGTTATCTGTTGAAATGAGGTGCTAAACCTCAACCAGAACTCGATGTTTTCCTCTAGCAGTCCGTCAATGTCCATACGAATTTTTTCTTCAATAGCTGAAACAGGATTGGTTTCATCAACAGAAATGATTCTCTCTTCTTCTTCTTTTTCTTCTTCTTCTTCCACTTTCGGAAGGAAGCTTTTCACATTTTCTGCTGCAGTTGGTTCTTCTGTTCTTTCTATGGATTCGACGTTTTGTTCAGCTAACAAATCAGGTACTGGCTTCTGATCCGAACTTGGATATGAAATATCAAAAGCGAAACTAGATCCTCTCATTAGGGATTCATTTGGCACAGCCTGCTGCGAGGGACTGGGATCTGTCAAACTGCTATCCGGAGGTTCATCACGATTTACTTGGAGCGAGTCCAATTTTTCGTGCAAAGATTGAATCTCCATGTCCTTCAATGCATTATCATTCTCCAGTTCTTTTATTTGCATTGCAGATTTGAAGAGGCTATCCTGGTTTTTTTTCTCAGCTTCACTAAGCTGCTTCTTTATTTCCTTGTAGTTTCTAAGGATTGAAGTATACTCTTGCAGGAGAATTTTTTCTCTGTTCTCTAATCCATTCAAGAACAGTTCCCTCCAATTTAGTTCATCTGTATTCTCGGTTCCCAATTCCTGTGGCTGCATATCAAGACTATTATCTGCTGCCGGTAACAAATCTTGCTTCTTTGATTCCTCATCTTTTCCAGAAAGGTAATCTTGGAGATTGCTTGCGTTGGATCGAATGTCATGTCCTTTTTCTTTAGCTTCGACACAAGTACTATGATCCAGAATGTCATCTTTCTTCTCTTCCTCTTCCATTTGAAGATCTTCTATAATCAGTAAATCATTATAAGGAGCATCTCTCACTTGAACTTCTTCGGGAAGATCACGAAGCTGGAAACTTGGCTCAGATACGAAGTATGGTTCAACAGGATCATGATCAAGACAGCCCTCATTCTTTTCGTCTTCCATTTTCATATCTGTGGGAAGCTCCTGAAACTGGATGCTTGGCTCGAATACAAAGTATGCTTCGACAGGATCATGATCAGGATAGCCATCATTCTTTTTGTCTTCCATTTTCGTATCCATAGAGATCAGTGAATCATAAACAGGAACCGCCATTTCTTCATCCTCGTTGAACATTCTTTCTGGATTGGCATCTGGAGCAGCTCTCAATGGACCTTCTCTCGAAGAATCATCAAACTGGTTGCTTGGATTGAACAGAGCAAAGGTTTGTTCATCATCTTTGACAGAAGCTTCATGGCCTGCAACATCTTTCTTCTCTTCCTCTTCTGTTGTTGCTTCTTTTGAGCTCATTGAATAACCCGCTGTCACTTCACCATTTTGCTGAAGATCAAGAAGTTGATTACTCAGGTCGGACTGCACAAAGTTCTCTTCTTCAACCTTGATACAAGTACTTTGCTCTGCAATTACAACCTCCTTCTCTTCCTCTTCTTTTTCGACATTTTCTGATATCTTTGAAAGGTTGCCAGGAGACATTGTATCTTCACGTACTTGAAACATTTTTTCCGGATCATCAACTGGAACAGAGAACAGAACCAGATTCTGGTCCTCCTCATCTGGCTTCAGATTTCTCAATTTATTGGAAACATGGTCAAGATTACAACTCGCTTCAGTAAAATGTATTTGCAGGTTCTTGTCTTGGTCTTCGACATTCTGGTTTAGATTTTGAATGATTTGCAGTTTCTGCTCCAACTCGCATATCTCGTTACTCATGCTGTCTGAACCTTCAAACAGAGCTTCCTTGTCCTCTTCTAGGCCCTGAATGTGCGCCTGAAGCTCATTTGCTTCTGCTCGTATTCTCTTTACCAGAGAAGACTGAGAAGTGACCACAGTTTCTAAAGTGATAACTGTGTCTACTAGTTCATCAATCTTCTCTGCCATTTCAGACATGGTGAAAGATGAGCTAGAATTGGCTTCCAACTGTTCTTTAATCTTTTCCCGTAGCAATTCCAAGTCATTCCTCGCTTCTTCTATGCTATCAACTTGTTGGTCTGAGTTCTTTAATTCTGAAATTCTGCTTTCAGATTCATATTCCTCAGAGATGTGTTGTTGATTTGTGTTCTTGTTCACTTGTTTTTTGAGGGTCTCAAACTTCTCACGAGTTTCCTTAATCCTTCGGTACTCCATTCTTGCCTCTTCAACGGATCGTGCTTGTTTCTCTTGCAGCTCAGCCAAGGTCTCTTGGCATGATTTCAAAGCTGTGGTTGCCATCAAAGTCCTAGCTTCATCATCCTCAATTACTGTGCCAATACCGAACTCATCTTGTAAGCTGGAAACTTTGGCTTGCATTTCAGTGGACTGCTGCTCAATATCCCAGAACTTTGCAATCCCACTTTCATACGAACTCTTTACAAACTCTTTTTCCGTTTGAAAGGCCAAAATCCTTTTTTGGAGCTTATCGATTTCTTCAAGTGCCTCGGTTTTGCTCAACCCCGAAGCAGGTGTAGCAGCAGCAGCAGGAGGAACATTCATCTTGAGCAGTCCCTTTTTTGACATTAATCTCGATGGCATCTTGGATTTTTTCCGTGAAATTTGCGGAATTTTGGGGATGCTTAACTTCGGGGCAGCTGGTAAATCTTTTGAGGGTGTTTTGGGATCAAAGGAAGGAGTGGGCGTTGTTGCTACATTCTCTTCATCTTCGTCCTCCATTGATAGCTGAACTTGCTCTGGGAAAACTGTGGCAATGGTTCGGTTGGCGTTTTGCAGCTCTCTTGATAGATGATCATATCTCTCTGCTAAAGCTCTGTATCCTCGGAAAGAGTCTTCGACGAAGTTTGTTAGCTCTGGCCTCTTCCGGTAGTACATTTCTGCCCTCGACGCAAAGGAGTCCCCGTCCTCTTCAATGATTTTGAGTATGTAGTCTACCTTCTCCTCCATATCTGTAATTCCACAGAATAAGGTCAATAATTCTAGTACCCCCACAATAAATTTGTGCGCGGGTGTAATTAGCAACTTGTGGTTTGACGGAAGCTATAACCTTAGATAAAATGGAATGGAGAAAAATAGGATTAAGGTGTTGTTTGTATGTTACAGTCTTCTGTAATCATCGACGTTTATGTCAGTTAAATGTAATCTTGGGATGCAGATGATTTTCTTTTTCAGTCTATGATGCAATTGATGAAATTGCAAAATAATAATAAATAATAATAATAATAATAATAATCCAAACACATTATTTTAACATACATATAACATTGAAATTCGGAAAATTCATGTCAATTATCTTAGAATCATGTTTCAAATGCAAGAAAGATCTTATTACAAACTTGTGGGGTTGTTATTGATATGGAAAGAAATTCTATATGCCATTAAAACTCATTTTGCCACTACCAAGTATATGAAAAGAGAAACCTGCATCCTCTCCCGGTGTCATTTCATCTGTATCATGTCCTGTGACATTACATTGCTTGTGCAACAATTACGTTACGTTGTGACTTTTTGATGTCTATGTTGCACTACGGTGTAGTGCATTGCACTATCAATCTACACGTGGCAGACGACCAAGGCACAGGATCCCTTCTCTAAGGGGATCCAGATTCATGAAAAGAGAGAAAATAGTCCATTTGGTATATGATCAAAACATTTTCTGGTTCAATTATAGTCTCAAAACATTTCAATATAACACAGTATTGATCAAATGATTCAATTAAGAAAATACCCAGATTTGAATGTCAGAAGAATTTACCTTGGAGGTTTTGGTCCAGCCATTTTGACTGTTTTGTCCTGATGTGGCTTGCCCACCACCATGAATATGCATTCTTTGCTGCTCTGTGCAACATTCTTTCTCTCTCTCTCTCTTGTTTCTCTCTCTAAGATTCTTGATCTATCATGGACTTGTGATACAAAGCCTAACCTGGCTCTATAAAATACTAGCAAAAGACATGGAAGGCATTAGAAGAAAAGGACATGAAGATGGATAGGCAATATTGGTCCTGACACAGACATAGCTGTGTCAGAAGAGATATGCCTTTTTTTTTTCTGTCTCCCTCTCTCTCTGTTTTTTTTTTTTTCTTTTGTCAAGAAGCAAAACAGAATAGATATGCCTGATGTTGGCTAGAAATGGAGGAGAGAAAATTTCGCCCAAATAATAGGTGTAGGATCTTTTGAAATGAACAAATATTGTGTAAGTTGGAAGGCATCAACAAATTGGGAGTTAATTTACTATTAACAATGCCCATTTTTCAAATTTTTTTTTTTCTTTCTAAATTGATACATGTTTCCCAAATGCATATATTCCCTTAATTATTTCTAACAATATAAATATAATCCAACTATATATAGACCACACGTAAAATGTAAAACTCTCGCTTCACATCTTAGAGGTAGGAAATTCGAATCCTCTTGCGTAGAGAATTTTTCTGATAATTACGCAGTGCATGTGGAACTAGGAGATTAGACGTGCTCGTGATGAATTATGGAATTCTATAATAAGTTTGACATCGTCATTGTCAACAATAAAAATAATAAATAATAAAATATATAATCGAAGCAAGTTTTAAGCCAATATTGTTGTTATATTAAATATAATTTTTCTAGCTATAATATTATTTATTATCTCATGTAATTTTATATTAAAGATCCCTCTCTAATTTATATACCCCATCAAATTGTAGTGACTAGACTTGGACTTTGTTTTTCAAGGTTCATTGAAAGATATAATTTATATACCCACCAACCTGTTTTATCAATATAATGACAGGACTTGGACTTTATTTTTCAAGGTCATATATATATAGATATAGATAAAGGAAAATGATCTCTTACCGGGTGAATAAAAAATTTATCCACACTAATTATAATGACACTTGCATAGTGGTGGTATTACAAGAGATACATGTCTCGCATTGTCGCATTTGATTCAGATAGATAGGAAGTGAAATGGATATAAAGAGGTAGATATGCAGCACTACTCAATAGTTTAAATTTTTGTGTAAATGAATAAGCGTTCAACCCGTATAGTTACTATCAGAGTCAGACCTAATTCTTGATTCGGTGTAATGTCAAGCACCCGGTCCGGAGGGCGTCCGGGTGTTTACCCCAAATAGACAGGGTGGCCATAGCCACAATGAGGGTGTTACGAGTTCGGGCGAAGGAGAATGTTACAAGAGTTCTTATCCCACATCAGATCCGAATGAAAAGTGTAATGGGTATAAATAAGTGAGTATGCAGCTCAAATCAATAATTTTAAGTTTTGGAATAAAAAGACAAATCTATAATTCGTGTGAATAAATTTTTTAATCGCGGTATGTGTGTGTGTATATATATTCACCAATAAACAATTGAGGTGTTTTACCTTCCAAAAAAAAAAAAAAAATTAAACAATTGAGGTGAAAGAATTGAAGGGCATAAGAAACAACATAAAGAATATGGTAGATCATGAAAACAAGGTAAGAAGGATATTCAGAAAAGACAGAGAATTGAAGGGCATAAGAAACAACATAATGTTGTTGGAGGAATCACAAAATGATCTCATGGTTTAAACTCTTGAAAACTCAGAAGAATAGTCAACATATATTTAGAGTCTTCATTTTCCTTTGAATTTGAATAGGTTCGTTCAATCTTTTTACCTACAAAAAACTATCATCATCAATGGTGTCATTTTGGAAAGAAAAATAATAAAATAAAACTTACGTAATTTTTTTTTCAATTTTGATAATACAATTGTGGTTCGAAATGAAGATGTTAAAATGGATTTGTGATAAGACAAAATTAAAATAATGATTACGTTTGTGAGACGGTTGAAAAGCACCCATTGAAAATAAAATTAGAAAATTTGATATAAGTTGGGTCTGCACTAATAAGAAATAGTGATTAGGTTCACATTGGTGATCATTTTAACACATAGGAAAAACCAAAATTAAAAACCTTAATAATGTAATGTTTCAAAATCTGCACAGTAGTGCGTAAGAGATTGAAGTCTACCATGAAGAATTTTTTTATAGGGGAAAATGGAGACAAGAAGAGAATTTCACGGCTGGAATGGGAGGCCACATGTGCTTCAAAACCTAGGGGGTTTCTCGGAATCACCTTCATTGCGGTGAAATATCATTAAACCAATAATTCAACACTTTTACGTAATTATTTGATATAAAATTATTGCATTGTCAATTTAAAATTATTCCATGATTATTTGAAAAGAGTCATTCAATACCGGACAAGGATATTCTCTCTAACCACGAAAAAGGCTAGAGAGAATTTTGTTGCTGAGATTGAATTGATAGATGAGATCCATCGAGATCTTAAGAAGATTGAATTGATAGATGGGATCCATCGAGATCTTAAGAAGATTGAATCATTAAATGAGATATACTAAAAATGGTCAACGCTTATCAATTGATGATGTAATCTCCACCACATTTGATAGAGTGCGAGAGGATCCAATTCCATCAATACCAAAAATCAAAGAGTAAGTCAAAATATCTTAGCAAATTACAACTCCACATGCAAATAAGTATATTAGCTGTATTCAGATTTTTACTCGCGTGGCAAGTGAGGACAATAGTTTAAAACTTGTTGGTATAGATGCAAAATTTCAAACCATGCTTTTTGATCAATTCTTTTACACTTAAGTCCTAAACAAAATTCACAAAACATTTGGGATTTAGACATTGGTTGTAGTAATCATATATGCCAGGAAATCTGGATTTGTTTCTGCACTTGGATGAGAGATTCAAATCACAAATGAAACTAGAGATGGAAAAATGAAAAATATTAAAGTTTCGTTTGTTTGAGCGTAAATATTTTATATTTTCTGGTGTTTAGTTATCATAAAATATTTACGAAGAAAAAAATATTAAAATTTAACAAAAATAACTTATTCATTAATTTCGGCAAACTATTTTACACACTTCACCCGATGGACTCGACCTAGACCTTTGTCAAATACTGAAATATATATATATATATATATATATATATATATATATATTACCTGGGAAAAGAAAATATTTAAATATATATATATTTTTTAGAGCCTAAAAGCAAAATAATCTTCATGATTCACTAAAGAACAAGGTAACAAAAGGTTTATTCATGATATTCTCTATGTTCATGAAATGACCCAAATTTTGTTGAGTGTTTGACAATAATGAATATATTATTTTTGACAAAAAAAAAAAAAGAAAGAATATTACAGTAAATACAAATAAAGTATTCCCTCCAGTTATGCCACTTCAAGAATTAAATAAAATATGATTCCACAAGAGAAGTCAACATATTTGAGTTTGGGATCAGCAATACTAGTGTCTCAAAATTGCAGTTGCAAATAATTCAAGAGAAAATTCAAGTTGTGTGTGTGTGAGAGAGAGAGAGAGAGTTTGGCGTGCTTTCACCAAAGTCGCCACTTTGGAGAAATGTGAAATATCAGAAGCCAGAGAGATTTTGGATGGATGTGATTATGAAACAATGAAAGGGGAGCATAATCAAAATTTCAAAATTAGGGGTAGTGTTGGAATTAAGTTTAAAAATAAGGGAAACTAGGAGTTTCATGTAAATAGTTGGTTCATATGTCCATTTAGTGTCCCTAAAAAGTGTGTTAATGAAGGAGTTTACAATAGTCCATCTATATAATTAAATAACTATACATATTATTTATTTTATATATATATATATATATATATATATATATGATAGGAAATAAATAACTGACCATTGTTTGTAGTAGGTACAGCATTTGCTCTTTGCTTTTGAGCTTAGCAATAACAACTCAATTATCATTATCATCCAACAAGATAAGCCTCACATCTTGTGTGTGTGTGTGTATGTGTGTGTGTGTGTGTGTGTGAGAGAGAGAATAATGATTATACCTTATATTAACAGCTTACATTTTATTTACAGTAATAACAACATAATACAAGGTTCGATATTTACAATGATATATTCTATTTTTCTTCCTAATTTAGGACTAAAATATATACATGTACAACCAATAAAAGAAAGCATAGAACTACATTTATATGTACAGCCAATCATATATACATCAAAGAATATGCAAATCACACACACACAAGGGTGCAAACAAAACCCTTTTTTGCCCCTTTTCCATCCCCCTCTGGGCAACTCACATCTCTTCCTACACCTTTCTTAAAGCACAGACCTACATTTATATGTACAGTCAATCATATTCACATCAAAGAATATGCAATCAAACACACACACACACACACGGGTGCAAACAAAACCCTAATTTTTTTTTTTTTTTTCGTTTTCCATCCCCCTTCCTTTAGATTGGAAATAAGAAAGAAAACGATTTCTCCATTGCTAATAGCATCATTCATCCTCATTCCTCTGCTGATTCTTCTCTCGATAGCCTAATATTAACTTGAAAAACAGCATACGACAATCTTTCAACTACCAAATTTACAATAAACCAGTCTCTTATCTTTTCTGAAGAAATTATAATAATTTTGTGTTTTTTCTCTCTTTATTTTTTATTGGTATTTTTTTTTTTCAGTTACTACCAGAAGACCAGCAAGCAGCAAGAGCAGAGCAACAAACATTTTTTTACAAGTGATCAAGCCACCAAGGGCACTCTTGTATGTCAGCTGCTCTGGAGGGAAGAGAGCCATTGCTCCATATACTTCTTGCTCTCTGTACAGTGAAGCAAATGCAAATTACAACTCGGCACAGATTATAAATCTTAGGAGACCACTATATTTATATGTGCACATACATATATGTGTGTGTGTGTGTGTGTGTGTGTGTGTTTTAGGGATTAGGACAATAGGAAGAAATTCCAAAATCCATTTTGCTTTCTACATCGATTAGATGTATGCACAGACAAAAAAACCCACACACATACATCAGTGGTTGGTAGATAGATGCCAAGAAGAAAACATTCAACAGTGATTTATAACACGAGGGACCACAAATTTAGAGCCTAATCCTCCAATTAATGCATCATCCCTTTATTTTTTTCCCCATAAACTGCAGTGAAGCATCTACAATTTGAGATATTTTACCAGAATTAACATGATGGTTGATTAAAAGACTGAATGAAAAGCACATGCACAAGAATATTCAAAAACATATAGACGGATTATGTGGCAGGGATTCATTGGAGAAAGTACCACTTAACCGTGATCAAAATGGACTAAACAGTCCAACAGGTAAGGAGGGTGATACCAGGAAAATTGGAAATATAAATCCCTCACAAAAATACCCATATTTGTTCAAGGTTCCGAACCTCATTCAAAACAGCAATGTTTTGCACCTTTTTGCAAGTCTAGCTCACATTTAAAATAAAGAGTTGGGATCCAAAAGTTTATTCCCATACAGCCTCATCCTATTTTTATCAAATTAATGTCCTCCTCTCATTTACCAAATGCATTCCATTCAAACTAGTTTGGGTTGTGATCCAAGTCCTAAATGACTTGGGAACCAACCCAATTTGCTGTATATATCAATAGCACACCATGTGCCCCATTAAAACAACTTTTAAGTCGATGCTTATATTGGAATTAAAGAGATCTCTCTCTCTATCCCTCAAATTTATGGAGTTGGGGCCTTCTTTTCAACTGTTTTCACAAATTGATTTTTGCATTTCCATTTGAAAATCTAATGTTCAAACAGTGACATACCACACCAAAACTCAATGTTAGTTAGGTGAAGAGTCCATATAAATTTTACCTAAAGCCTAAGGCCCTACCCTACTTTATTGTATTATAAAGCCTAGCGTTTACACTTCCAACCTTCCATCAATAATGTCTTGGGAGAATAGGCCAAAATCCAAGCCCGACATGTGCTACAACAAAATATTTTAGAAGCAAAAACCAGAATTCCAATGTTGCAACAAAAAACGGAGAAATTAAGCCTTGTTTTCTTGGCGCAACTCTATCATTTTTACCAGCACATTCATAATTCAAACCGTTCAAAATTCCAGTCGTAGACAAGTCGAAGAACGTATTTATTTTTGGCACAGGTTCTGAGGTGACTGTTAAGGGGGTTCAAAAACCCACTGATAAAGTTTAGAACGCAGACAAGGCCCGGGAAGGTTCAAAAACCCACTGATAAGGTTAGGTACCGTCAAAATTATAGAAGGGAAGATCAAATCTTCATCAAATCAAAATTATGTGCGCTCTCAAGCACACATCTATGTATGACTAGCATTTGATAAGTCGAATCAGCATATAATATTCTCTCTTACATACTTAGCGGCCCAGAGATTATCGCATTTAATTAACTAGATAAATATTTTCTGTAATTACCCTCTCTAATATAAATACCACAAAAAGATCATATATGAACTCAACGAGGACCAAGATCCTAAGATGTGAATCCAGATAATGAGCTAATTGCTTAAGATATTATCATCAAAAAAAAAAAAAAAAAAAAAAAAAAAGGCTGATACTAAAAATATGTAGGCAGAAGTTGTTTGTCTAATGATACCTATTCCGAAAAATTTCCATTAATGGTCTGGTATCAACATGTCACACTTTAGCAGCAATAAATTTTATAAGGACATCCAAAATAAATCATCATGATGGCACCAGCAATGAAATAGAAAAAGGAAATGAATATTGTACAAACAAATAAATGAAAGATGTATAATGTTGCATAAAGTGACTCTTACCAGTAGCATATATGTCTGGAATGTTTCCAATTGTGTCTGAAAAATAGTCCCTTGAATTCTTGTCCAAATCCTCACGGCCATGCCCATGCCCATAGCACGGAACCAGCACGGCAAAACTATCCTCCGATTCCTCATCACTCTGGAAACCAGGGCCATGAGGCTCCAACCATCCAATCGACCAATCCGAGTCATCGGAATCAGAGCCAGAAACACACCCACCATCCGACGGCACCAAAACAACATCATATTCCCGGTCAATTTTCCGTTCTTCCCGGCTTCGCCATTTTGGCTTAACTCTCCTAGACGAGGATACCACATTGCCCACATTAACCAAAGGGAATTTCACAGCATCTGATTCCCACAAACCCCAATCTGATGAAGTATTTAAAGACGCCCCTTCGGAGATTTTAGGCTCTTGTTGCTTTCCACTCCATAACCACCAAGACAAATGTGTAAATGCCAAAGCCATGTCTTCTTTGCCTCCTTCAGAATTCAAAATTTTCGATGTACTTATGTTCTGATAATTTAAAGATGAGACAGAATATTCCAAAGATGATTCTATTTCTGCATTTTATGGGAAAAACTAAAATAAGAAAATTGACTAATTGGATAGAAATAAACAGCAATAAAGGGGTCAAAACCCAAACAAAAGAGGGATGATATTGCAGTGTATATACCAAGAATCTTCTTTGTTTTATCAGTTTCCTTATTAATAAGGAACCAAATGAGTCATATAACATCTATTTTGAACATCAAGTGGATTGACACCCGAGAAATCTATCATATTTAAGCCAGAAAGATATAGTTCAAAAAATTAACTATATTTTCCCAAGGAAGACAACTTGTATTCACCAAAAATAAATCAAAAGTTTTTTTTTTTAATTTATTTATTTCTTATTTTTAATCGATATCATAAATTTGACACCAAATATTGTTAGGTTAGTAAAAGAAGAAAAAAAAATAATAGTGATTTATCATTTAAGAAGCCAAAACTTGGAATAGAACTTGACAACTGGATATATCAAAACCCTTCACTTAAAAGAAAAAAACAAAAAACCATCATTGAAACGTGAACAAAAATAAAAAATTTTAACGTTAAAAACCAAAAAATAAAATAAGATAAAATAAAATAAAAAATAAAAACAAACAAACAAAAAATCGACCTCTAATTGTTTTGGTCCAGGAATCAGGGGGGAAAATCCTAGATTTAGCCTTCATTATCAAACATGGAATATGAAACGAAGATTCGAAATAATAACAATAGATATTTCACACATATATATAATTGATTGATACCTTTGAATCCAAGATACGAATAATCAGAGATCCGGCAGAGTCAAATTGTTCATCAAATTCGATCCCTACTTTCTCTTTCTTCAATCAAAGAAAACCAGTAGAGAGAGAGAGAGAGAGAGAGTTTTAGAGAGAGAGCTGGGCGCTGCAGTCTGTGTAAGATTTGAAAGACGTGTTGTGGATTTCTTGTATGCTACTTCTATAATATAACAGTAACAAATAGTAGTAGATTAGATTAGCTATTAGTACAAGAAATAGATGAGTAAGTAGTCTAGTAGATGACATAGATTAAGAAAATATACATGTATATGTAGGAATTGAATGGATTCATGCATGTATCACAGATTCATAGGAGTGTTGGCCAACTTGGGCCTCCTCCACTAGTCTTGGGATACAACACGGCAACCTCTTGTAATTATCCACCACATTCCCCCAATATTTTAATTCTCGGTTGTTGCATTTGGGAAATTTCAAACTCAAACAGTACAAATAGTGAAATGCAAGTATAGGGGGTTATTCGATTGACTAGACCTTATAAAGGTATTAATTGGATTCGAATTATACGAATATAAATAAATGAATTGAAATGTTGCACTCTTAATAAATAGTTAAGCATACATTACTTCTGTTTAGGAGCTATATTGGAGTCTCGCACCATCACTGACTTCTAATATTCTTATCAACAAAAAAAAATTCAAACATTAACTCCTAAATATAATATTTATTATTTATGGGAATAATTACACTAATTTCTTCTAAAATTTCGTCAACTTACACTAACCTTTTCTATTATTTTTTAAATTACAATGACCTCCCTTGTTAGAGCTATTGAATGGATGGCGTTAACAATTCTATCGAAATTACTTTTCTACCCTTATTATATCCATATGGTATTTTATTACAAAATACAATAAATTTTGAAAAGACAAAAACACCCAAATGTTTCTTTACTCTCTTTCCTCTCTCACCTTTTGTAAACCCATTTTTAGGACAAGAAGAGAGACTCATTTCAGTTTGAGTAGAGAGACCAATTTCAGTTTGAGAGAGGATGGCGGTGGTTATGGGGTGAGGATGGCGGTGGTGAAGCTACAGGTTGTGATGGTGCCGTGGTGCAGTCCTTGCCTTTGTTGTTGCTTCGCTGGAGTTTCCCTTCCCTGTTGCTTCGCCTGTAGTTACTAGTTTCTAAAATATTCGACCCTTTTTTATTTCTTTAACTTTCTAATTAAATTATTCAATTCAATGTCTTAACCTTTTGACTTCAACTTTCATTTTCTTTGATTTTCCTATTCTGCCGACACTAAATTTCTTTCTTTTCTTTTCGCACTTGCATAATCAATTGCATTCTCTGAAATATACTAGAGATAGAAATATCTGGATAGAGATAATGAGCAAGGGTGGTTGAAGAGAATAGTTTCTCTGAGGGCGGGCGGTGCACTAAACTTACCGGTGCCGGCGTGGTGGTGTTGGTGACCATGATGCCGTAAACAAAATATATATATTTTTTCGGGAAAGAAAACAAAATCAAACATGAGAAAATTGAGAAAAAAAAAAATTAAACATTTTGGGATTTGTATTTTGAGTTTTACTATAATGTTCGAGGGTTGTGAAGAGAGAGGGGAAGAGAATATGAGGATAGAGGAGAAATAATTACATGGGTATTTTAGACATTTTAATTGCTTTATTTACATGTCTTGCAAGGGTAGAATAGGAATTTGTGAATTAAAAATTACTAACAACATCTTTTTTCGTTAGTTACAGTGTTTTCTATTAACGGAAGGGATGTCTATATTATGAGTATACAAACGTTGAGGGAGGTTAATGTTATTCGATAAATAAGAGGGAAGGTCAATGTATGATGACGAAACCTCAAGGTAGTCAGTGTAATTATTCCTTATTTATATAATAAATGAATTGAAATAGATTTGTAAAAAATGAAATAAATTATTTATTAAATTTTTAATTCAACAAAACTTAAACAAAAAGTGACTAGGTGTGTTATAATTTGATGTTTGTGTTGGAGGAAGTATTGGGTGAACGGATTCGGTGTGCATGCCAATAATGTGGCGTGCCGGTTCACCCAATATATTTTTCTACCATTAATTCATTTAACAAATAATTGTATATAAGAATTTAGTACTAAAATTTAATTAAAAGATATTACAAAATTTTATCAAGATTTGAATAAAATGGATATATATATTAAATTTTTTTCTGAGTCAATCAGCACGTGGAGCATGTGGTCCTCATTTTAAGATACTTTTTACATGATCATGTGAGTCTAATAATTAAAATCCATTTTGATAGAGGCTTAGATCACGTCGTGCATAACTGTGTTCTGAAATCAAAGCATGAAAATAAGAGCTCAGTGCAACATGATCTTAATTTTATTTGATTAATTTTTTAATAAAGACTCCATTTGTTTTGGACATAAAATATTTTTTATTTTTTGGTGTGCAACTGTCGTAAAATATTTATAAAAAAAATATATATTAAAACTTAATAAAAAATATTTATCTATTAATGTTTGACAAGTTATTTTACACACTTCAGTTGATGAATTTGACTTCAATATTGGCCTAGGCCCTGGACCTTTACTAAATACCTGGAAAAAAAAAATTTAAAATATTATTTTATCTGAAAAAGAAAAAAGAAAAAAAAAATTGAAAAATTTTACGTGAAAACAAAGGAACTTAAATGTTTAATATTCTTAAATCAATGGTTGTTGCATTCTTGGAGAAGAAAAAGAATAATATCTTCATGTATTCTCAAAGCAATTACATTGCATATATATATATACACGCTGAAAAGTATGAAAAGTAATTGTAGTTGAGAGATCCTAGTCCATTGCAACAACCATGACGAAGTTTCTTAATCCAAAAATGCTTGCTCAGTCAGACTTGTGGTGCTCCAGAGAAAGAAAGGCCAGGTTGATTGTGTGTGTGACACTGTGTGGGGTGCAGGTAACTTCCACCGCCTCTCCAGTCTCCAGTTGACAAATTCAAATTTGGATTTCAAGGACAAGTTTACCATTCCAAGAAAGGACTCTGCAACTAAAAGCAGCCTTGGACTTGGAGCCAACAAATTTGATTCTACTGTAGTAATTTTGAAACCATTTCTCAAACAATTACAAACTTCTTATTACGACAATTGTTGTGAGCGTTGTTTATTATGGACATCAAAATTTAAAAGTAATGGGATAGAATTAAAAAGTAATGGAATTTAAAATAGGACTTTCAAACTATTCTTTCTAAACATAATGTTCTATTAAAATTTGCAAAATGTATTTAAAATTTAAGGTTAATTATACTCACACCTCTTGAGATTTGTCTTATTGACAGTCAGATGAAAGATAGCTATTTTTTGAACAATGACACCCCCTGTCAGATTTTGCATCCAAACAAAGCCTAAAAAGGAGTAAAATATCTACATTACCCTTTAATACTTTATTCATATTTAATCTAAAATATCATAACCATTAAATTACCGAAATACCCTTTTTTTTTTAGGAAAAAAGAAAATTAACTACACCTACCTACTTTCTCTCTCTAACCTCAATACCCTCAACCCACCGTCGCTACAACTCACATCTGCCACCGCCACAACCTCCACCCACAACCACCACCTCCACCCGATTTTTTATTTTTCCCTCTCCACTCAACCGTCGGATTGCAATTCTCCTTGGTTAACGCTACTTCTCCGCCAATACGTCGTTTCTCACTGTAGATTTTACTCCATCCGATCGAGAAGAGCCCAACAAGTGTAACAACCCAGTTCTATGTGTGTGTGTGTGTGTATATATATATATTTATTCACAAGAAGTTTAGAGGATTTGCGGTGGCGAGAGGTGATGCACAGAGAGGAGGAAAGATGGTTGCTTCGATCCGACGAATATTCCGATCACCACCCATAGTCTTGTTTGAGCCCGAAGATTGATGTTGGCTTGGAGAGTTCACTGTTCACGATGCTGCATCGTCATGCTCGACGAATCCGTTAAACATATTGTCTTATCCCAATCGACACTCTCAAAATCCGGCGTGACGGCAATTTGGTTTTCATTACCATCTTCAACCCTCACTCTCCGGAGTTGACTAACCACCATCGCCCCTAGGTATATTAGTTGGTGAGCACTGGTGTTGTTGGCAGCGACAGAGAAAGTTGCAGTAGCCACTTAGGGTTTTGGCATTTGTTGTTGGCTACTTAGGGCTTTCAATTGCAATGGTCACTTTGGTGTTTGAGGATTTGCAAATCGTTGATTAGCGATTCAGGGTGATCGATGATCATCGATTTAGGGTGTTTTGCATTGGGTGGGAGTTTTCAATGGGTTGCAGGGAATAGAGGTTGAAGATGATGAATAACGTGTTTTGGTGGTATAGATTACATGAGATTTTTTTTTAGGTAATCAAGATGTTCAATCGATTGTTAATGGAGCGGAGGTGGCCGACGTACTTTGGAGTGGTCATGTTTGGTGTTGTACATAGGGCTACGGTGGTTCTGGTGGTGTGCCGCCAGTGGTCATGTTTGGTGTTTGACATGGGGTGCTATGCTGATGGCGGTTGTGGTGTTGTGCTGCAAGTGGAGATGGCAACCACCCTCTTCTTCTTCCCTTCCTCTTACCCCATGCTCTCTCTCTATATATCTGTGTATATATATATATAAAATGAGGGGATGATATATATAATTAAATGTATATAATATATATATCTAATAGGTAGTTTGGTAAATTAAAATTAGTGAAAAAGTTAAATCGATAATTTTAATATTCTAATGGTTCAATTGACAAGTCAAAGGGCATTTTAGTCATTTGATAAATGTCAGAGTGTTCAGGTGTGCCTTTGTCAAACTCAACAAACTTGAGGGGATGTCATTGTTCAAAAAATGGTTATCTTTCATTTGCCTGTTAATAGGGCAAACCTCAGGGGGTGTGAGTGTAATTAACCTTAAAATTTAATGTTTAGTTTACATTAATACCTAAATAATTTAAATAATAATAATAATAATAATAAAATAAAATAAAAACCCTAACTGGTGCATGAATTGAATAATCAAATCTCTTTTTGTTCATGCACTTGATATATTGCGGCAGGTAAATTACATGAACCTCCCCTATAGTTTGCCATAATTACTGGGACCTTTTCTGGGGTTTGAGAATTTACTCGAATCTTCCCTAAAAATAAAACTAACCTACACGAACCTCCCTTTCTGTTAGAGTCAACATCTGTCAATGACTAATTATGCTAAAGTCATGTCTAAATTAAGTAAAATACTAATTTTACCCTTTGTATATCTCCTCTCTACTCACTCGGTTTTCATGGACACACAGTCACACACTTGGTTCTTTGCTCGCCGGTGTCGGAATCTATGGAAGCTAATAGGTCAAGGTTTGTTACTTGGAGCTTCACCGAAAACAATGGAAGCTTATGTTCGAAGCTTTACCGATAGCAGGTCTTGACACCATTGAGTTTCAACGTTGGGTAGCTTCACCGTAATGGATCTCTCCTCGTCGGACCTGTTGTTCGACGGTTGAATCAATTAATCATGTTCGCCCGTGGTGGTGGTTGGCCGTGGTGGCATGGTGGTGGTCAGCCGGAGAAAAAGGTAGGTGGGTGGGGTGGGTGGTGGATTATTGTGAATATATATATAAAAATATGGGTAGTTCAATAATCTACTATAGCAACTTGAGAGCATTTCAGTAAATTAAACAGATTTGTTAGTCTATTTGATGGTCCATCATTAAGAGGGGAGGTCCGTATAGGTTAGTTTCATTTTTAAGGAAGGTTCGACTAAATTTTCAAATCATAAAAAAAGTTCCTATGACAAATCATAGGAGAGGAATGTGTAATTTACCCTATTGCGGTTGGTGGGGTCTCTTTTCTTTTCTTTTCTTTTCTTTCTTTTTTTGTGTTTTGTTTTTTCTAACAAGAACCAAGCCAGGGTAAACGTAAAAGCCATGTCGGTAGGCTCGAGTCCTGCAAACCACTACTTCTTCCTGTTTTCATGACATTGGCTAGTCACAGGAACTCTGATGTCAAAGTTGCAGATGGCATTTTGTGGTTTAATGGGTGCAAGCCAATCCATCGTACAAAGGAACATGACAACCACAGGAAACAAGTCAATCGCAAGTTTATGTCCTCAAATCATTTTACACGTTTCACCCTATAAATTGACCTCAGCAAAATATCTTAAAATAAAAATAAAAAAATATATTTTACCTAAAAAAAGAAAAAATATATATTTATGTGGAAACAAAATGAGCCTAAAATATAGCTTAAATGTAAGATGAATTTAGATTTACATTAGAATTATTCCACTATTTACAATTATTTTTCAACAAAATCAATCTCAAAATATTCATTTAAAGCATGAAACCGCCACCAATAAACATTGTTGAACGTTTACCAGGAAAAAGAAAATGAAAAAACATTGTGGAAGCTAACTAACTAAACTTTTTGGTGATTATTCCTAAAAATAAATAAATAAATACTCCCTCCTTTCCATATTAATAGTCCATTTTTTTATTTTTAGTTGTCCTAAAATAATTGTCTCATTTCAAAAATTAATGCACTATTGTTATTAACATTTCCAATTTACCCCTACAAGACAAAACACATCAAAGTGTCCAAGTGGTGGAATAACATTTAAAAGGGATAAATTTGAAAACCAATATAATAAAAGCTAGTATCTTAAAATGTGTGAAGTTTAGATATGAACATCTATAATGGGACAGAGGGAGTAAATAATTTGGTGATTAATTGATTGTTCTCACATTATTAACTTTTCAATGCTTTAGTTTCTCAGAGTGATAATTTCACCTTGACTTGCATTGAAACAACAGCACTAAAACAACTTCTCTTTATGCAGCAAATGGTACATTGTCATTGTGAAGCACATACCGAGAACTCATACATGAAGAGGAACTACTGCATATAAAACAGCAATACCTAAACAGGGAACAGCAGTTGAAGAAACTGCTGTTCGACTCGATCAAAACTATTTTCTACGATGACAGAAGAATAAAATTCTCACTATGTGTTACCTTTTGTTCTACTTCTTTCAAGTGCAGGATGCAGAGCTTACAGCTACAACTCTTCCACTATGGCAACCAGAGAAACCGGATCAGTGGCTGATTGATCCATTGTCAGCAGCCAAAATAGCTTCCCATAAAAAATCATTTCAGAGTGAGGGCATACATATATCAACAATCTAACAGCTTCTTGACAATGCAGATTAAGAACCGCGGTTCTCCTCATCTGATGCTCGTCCTTGCCGGTGTGGACTTCTTGGAGGAGCTGGAGCACCAGCTCCTTTACTAACAACAGGAGCATCTGGCTGATCAGAATTCCGCTCTCTCAAGGGATTATTATTTGTGGCTGCAGATCGCATAGCCCTAGGCAATTTCAATGGGATCTCAGCCTCAACTTTGCTGTTCTCGGGTTTCTTTCCTGTTTCATTGTTGTCTTCTGGCTGAGAGGAAGGTGGGGCTACAGGAACAAGCTGAATTACTGATTTTCGCCATTTCTTTCTCTGAATAGGAGGCTTTGGGGCATTTGATTTGGCCTGTAAACATTGTGGCACAACAAAGACTCAGTTTGAGAGTTCCAGAAATATGAACTCAAATATTGATAACTTAAGGGGGTAACACATTTAAAAGAACATACTATTCAGTGATCATGTAAGGGGGAAACCATTTAGGTGTGTGGGGGGTGAAGAAGCTATTTACATAATTACACGACCCCATTTTACCAAGAAAAAGCTACTAGGAATTAGAAAAAATACCAGAGTATTCCCAATGTCAGATAAAGCCTTCCTTCTTGGCCCACCATCATCATTTGCCTCAACAGGATTCTCTGCTAGTGCACTCTGAAGTAGCATTGCACCATGAGAAGCAAGTACACGGTTCGATTCTGTTTCATTAGTGCCTTCAGCCAGTTGCAATCTTGGCAAGTGATCCAACTCCTTTACCGAAGCTGTATCTCTATTGCTGCACTTTGTGGCTTTACAACCACATGACGCACCACAATGGCCCCCAATAGCTCGACATTCACATCTCATCGTTTTGCATGAAGAACTCGTACTACACGAGCAGCAGACTTCAATTCTAGAATCCCTTTTCCTATGTTGCTGCCTGTTAAAGATTACAAACTCAGGGTCTGACTCACCACCATCATCTGAATGTTCTGATTCAGATGTATCCATGTCCAGTAACTCTATATTTTTTCCGCCATTGTTATAAACTACGGAGCTCCGGGATCCCTATGGGCAAATGGAAACCATTCATTTATCAGCTAAGGATCCTTTTTTATCCAAAAGTACTTGAAATACTATTCTGAAGTATAGTTGTATGTATGAATATAAGGTTGGAGGTGAATACAATACCTTGTCACGCAGGTCATATGCATGCCCTTCTCCAGCGGAGAGATTCTTCTGTAACAAAGTTTAAGTAATAGTAACCATGTAAATATTATATAACAAAAAATAAAACCCTAGCTCAACTGAACCGACATTAATTAAAATTAAAAAGACGCATATTTAAGGCAGCCCTCCCCTTCCAATAACAAAATGCCACCTCGTCCCCCAACACAAAATAAAAAAGGTCATTAAGTGAGTATAACATTCATGCGAAAGAGGTATCATATGGAAGTATCCATTACTTTTATTCTTAATTATCTCCATTAATATGTAGGCAAGAAAGTAGTCAGTAACTCAGCAGTGTACATTTGTCTGACAAAAAGAATGTGAAAAGGAACTAAAGGGTTGCACCATGCAAACAACAAAAGACCGTTTCTGATGCCCTTTCAACAGTTCAAATTTAAATTGGCAAAATGTCCTAAAAGACAAGCTCTCTCTTACCCGGCTGCCTCTAGCTTGCTTTTTTCTTGTATCTCTAGTTTGGTCTGCCAGAAACTGCCCCTTCTCTCTCCAGTTTTTTTTTATTTTTTATTAGTCCCTTCTCTCTCCAGTTTTAAAACTCAACATTGTCCTTTCTCAATTGGCAGTGTTAATAGGTTGTGTTACCAACCCTTCAATTGTAGTTGAAAAGGCAGCCCCCTAAATTACAATGATGTGATAAAAAAATAAAATGAAAAGGGAGATTGATAAGAGGTGAAGTTGATGTTTGAGTCAGTTCTTAAACTCGTCTTAAAGACAGATCCTTGAAAACTGGCAGATAGAGCAAAATGTCCTTGTTCAATCATGCTTTAACCTCTCCCTTCCTTTTTGGACTAAGTTATGGGTGTTTTAGTTATTTTTAGCTTAATCTAGCTCTCTGTTTCTGTTCCTTATAGATTCTATGTCCTCTTTCAAAACCTTACTACATTACTGATCCACCAAACACTCCACTCGAGTATTCAGGCACGCTCCCAATCTCGGTAGATTCTATCTCCGTCTTCTCACAGATCTATTTCTTCAATAGAAATTCTGATTCTATACTAATCATCCACTCCAATCTCGATTGATTGATTGTTGATGTTGAACTCGTCAAATTAGATCAACTACCGTTATAATCTCAATACATTATATAACACTCCCGGTCTAATGCAATTCATGGATGCTAAAATATATGAATGCAAATTTTGCTTAAAATCCTCAAGCTAATGTGATTTTCTTTATATTCTGTCTCTTAGGGTTTGTACTAGAATAGAGTATTAATAGACAAATCAGAGTTGTACTGAGAATAACGTTCTATGATTTAATCCAGAAAAAAAAATTAATTTCCCGAGTGACTCAATGATAGAGAAATATGCCAGTCAATCGACATAACTCCATTAGCTTTCGATTGATATTTAGAACAATCGAAGTGCTCAGGAATCCAAAACCTAGAAAATTTTAAACAAGGTTTCTAAAAAGATTTTTGATGCATGTCAATTAGGATTTTCTCAATCTAATAATTAATTCCCAAAACTCTAATGCATGAATCCTAATTTTGTGAATGCATGTAGTAATGTCAATTTACTTTGTAACCCTGGTGTCGAAGATTACGCTTTGGTTGAAGCTTGGGTTACACCTTTGACCATGACCAAGAGGTAACTAACTTTACATCAACTTTTAAAATTCTAGCAAAAGTAATTAAACAGACAAAATTACAGATTCTAGGTTTGATTCACGAAATATACCAATCTAAGTCATATTGACCAAACATGGGCTATATTTGGAACAAAATAGAGAACAGACTTAGAGCTACTTATCAGTAAATTTATCGAAATAAAATACTGGTTTTAATCAAACAGAAACATATTTTATGTTTATTTATTGATGCTTTGCTCACAGTGAATGAGCTAACCTGCAACTTCTCCAAACGAATAAGCTCGGTCTTTTGCATTTCCAGCTCTCTCACCAAATTCACTACCTTTTCCTTCAGGTCTCTAATTTCTGAATCTTTCTCTCTACCGTCAAATTCTTTATCCCGTAACGAGCACCTTTAAACAGAAATAAAATCAATTACAAGAAGTTAAAGAGGGATCTTGCTTTCATAAGGATGTGTGGGAATTCAAGCAATAATTACCTTGAAGACGATGCCAAGTTAAATAGATAATTCATAATATTTTTTGCTTCAGCAAGAGACCGAACTTGGTTCCAACGTCCCTTGCCACTAAAAGCACGTCCACGTTCTTCTGCCTCTGACAAATGTGATGCCATAGAAACAAGGGTGCTGGATGAAGTAGCAAGCATGTTTTCTAGTGCAAAAATCCTTGAATTTCTTGCGCCAGGGGACATTGTCGGGAGGCAATTGCTGTGATGGACACATTGAGAGGAAATTGTTAAAGCACTAGCAGCAACACCTAATGTTATAAAGAAGAAAAAAAAAAAAAAAAAAAAGAGGAAAAGAACCCGCATAAAGTGAAATCAATAAGAACGCTGCTGACCTTAAATTACTTTGCTTCAGAATTTGTTCTTCCTTCAGTTCCGCAACCTCCTTTGCCATTTTTGCCCTCCTAGAATTCCAAAACAAATTAATCCCATTATTTGAGCCATAGATATACTAAATAGAATGTCTGATGAACATTTTCATAATTCTACTGGCACAAGCATGAAACATGAGATAAACTACAGTATATACATAGCAGCTTTAAGGTTTAAGTTAAATTTTGTGCTTACTAAACCATAAAAAGTAACCAAGGGACTGATTGAATTACTTAATCTACTAATAATGAATACAAATACCATTATGGCAGTATATAATTTATATAAATGAAATCCACTACTCCATAACAATTGGATTTGGACAAACTGGATTTCTATTCTTTTCTTCTCTCTCTCTCTCTCTCTCTCTCTCTCTCAACCTTTGAACAGGCAGGACTAGTTGGTTCTCAAGTAATAAATACGAATACCTTTCAAGTAATAAATACATATATACAAAGCAGCTTTAAGGTTTAAGTAAAATTTTGTGCTTACTAAACCATAAAAAGTAACCAAGGGACTAATTGAAATAGGTAGTCTACTAACGAATACAAATACCATTATGGCAGTATATAATATATATAAATGAAATCCACTACTTCAGCTTAGCTTAAATGACATGCATGACTCCCATAACAATTGGATTTGGGTAAACTGGATTTCTATTCTTTTCTTCTCTCTCTCAACCTTTGAACAGACAAGATTAGTTGGTTCTCAAGTAATAATACGAATACCTTTCGACTGGATCATTTTTCTTCTCTTAAAATTATAAATAGCTTTGGATCAAGTGGGCTTTGCCTATATGCCTTACAGAACCTTTGTGATCCGCATCAGAATATCTACAAAATTTTCTAGTCTATTATCCTGATATCTTGTTTGTCCCTGTTTTAGAATTTTTCTCTCCTTTATCTGTTCAAGTCTTCAAGTAGCATTTTATTTCTCTCTCAAAGGGCCAATACTGGGTGAAATAGTAGAGGTTGAGGATGTTAAGCATGAGATTGAGGGTACGCACTTCATGCAAACCGGAATTGAGGTTTGCTCTCCCCCCAGTGTCCTAGATTGGCAGGACCAAGCACCAAGTAAAGGCTTATTTTCTCTACACACACAAACACATGCACCCACTCACACCAATCTGTCATGCAAAAACAAAGTTTGTTTTTTGCTATAAAATTTCCATAATAATCCTGCATCTGATCACCATAAAAACAATGAATATTACTTGTTCCTGGTGCAGAACATAAAAAAGAAACTCTTCTAACAGCACAACAAATTACATTTCTCTAATATAGGTTGCTCAAAATTCTTATTATTTTAACAAAGAAGAGACGTGTGAAACTACACATATGAAACTTACAAAATAAAAGCATATAGCTACTAACCCCAAGAATAAAAAAATATAAAAATAAAGAAAAAGTTACAACATATTTATCCCATCTAGTCGTATCCAAAGAAGAAAAAATAAAAGTAAGTTTAAATCTGAAAAATACAGTCTAGTAGTTAATCCTGCTCTAACCAACACATGGTAAAGTGATAATATAGAATTGTCCATATTTCTCGGGGAAAAAAAAAGACTAAATTTGTCCAATTCTCATAGTATGCTGGGAAAATTTCATAACATATATTAAAACTGAATCAATTGAAATAATCTAAAAGAAAATGTAACTAAATAACACTCTACTGGCTACTATAAGATGTATTGAGGGACTTATCAAAATATATATATATATATATAAGATGTATTGAGGGAAATACCTAACCTTCAATGGATTATAAACGCTTGGCGCCTAAGAGATATCTAAGCACTTCCTTATTAAAAGAATAAACAATGATACTCACTCTTCCATTTGGCGCTCATATTGCGAACGTACTTCGTGTACCCGTACTGTGACTTCAAGTTCATGCTCAATTGACTGCATCAGTGCCTACTCAACAGGAGGAACTAATGGATTAGAACTTAATAAACACTAAATGAACAAATCACTTGCAAGGATTCATTCACCAAAACAACCTAGCCATACTGATAGCCCAATACTCACTAAAGGCATATCAAAAACACATATAACCTTATATGACAGAAGTCAGTTACTCATTAACTTAAACACATGAACAAGAACAATTAAATCCTTCCATTAATTTAAGGATACCTGAATTCCAGGACCACTGCTATTTCCAGCCCCTGCATGAGTGGAAGATGTCAATTAACTATAAATATATAAAATAAACATTGACTACAGGGGCAGTTGATATCCTAACCAAATGTTTCACGAGATGAAGCCTTTCGAGATTCTAATAACTCTTTTAGACGTTTTGTAGCCATAGAAGCTTCTTCTGTCTTTCGTTGCAAAACCTGACACAGAAAAGATAGAAAGTGAAAAGAATAAATCTATAGAACTAAGAAGAATTTAGGATCCTAACTGAACAGTATATACCATCTTTTGCCTTTGATTTAAAGCTAAAAGCTTGTGCATCTCATACTCGTTCCTTCTTCCCTCTTTCTTGAGCTGTTGATGAATAAAATAAAATAAAACAAATGCACTCCAGCTTTAATAATACCATAGTTAAAAATTAAGATCAAACAAGCTGTGCATAAACCAAAATCACAATAAAAAAATAATTGGGGTAAAATAATTTTCTTCCCTTTTCCTCTTAATGACCATTTTTCAACAAAAGATACCACAAAAACCCATACTCCAAACAGTCAAAATATAACTCAACAAGTGAACATAGTTAAATACTCAAAACTAAGGCCTAATTGTTAATTTGATAAACTTCTATAAAATCTTCAATAGTTGGCCGCAACATAATCCCTTTTTATTAGGATTAAAAAATAAAATAAAAAAAAGGTTGAATAGAATTTGCTAGAGGGAGAAAGATGGGATTGTTTGTCTACCAACCCTAGGAGACCTTCGGAGTCTTATTCTTAAAACAAAATTATAATAATAATAATAAAACAATAAAAATCTGGTTCTTATGACGGCATGCAGAATGTGACGCAGGTCCATTTAGTTGATCAAATCAACCTAAACATGCATTTTGGGCCAATCGGCAATCCCAATTGAATCTATGCAACTCAGCTCACCTTAATTTATGAGGCTTATCGTTTTAGTCAACATGTTTTTATTTCATCATGTTTCGTTTAGTGCAAAGGATGGAAAGTGGGTGGAAGCGAGGTAGTGAGAATAGAAGAGACGTCCCTAGGAAATGGAAGATGCCTTCCCCATTTTTGTGTGTTAATTGCTTCCATTTTTTGGTCAAAGAGAAGGGAAAGGGGTTTTATATTTCTTTTGCCACTATACCCTCATCATATAATATTGAAAAATATGAAGGGTAATAATGTCAATTTACATAATATACAATACTTATTCCTCTCTTCCGTCCAATTTTGGAGGGATGAAAAATGGTTGGCCAGGACTTGCAAATCAAGCGTCTAACAAATATGCTTTACACAATGCAACTATACTAAAAAAGAATTGTGTATCCAAGATTAGCTAAATTCAACTACTTTGAAATACTAAATGGAAAAAGATAAAAGTTGATCAAAACAATTAATAGACTAGAAACACCTACATCAGAATAACTCTCTCCTATCTTGAAATGAATTCACTTATAAAAGAAGCCTCAAACAACAAACTATTTATAGTATCAAAGATTTATTGTTGCGTCTTGTACTGTAAATAACCAGCAAAATAGCGCATTCACCAAACATTTTACCATATAATCTTTGGTAAAGAATACATTTTCCCCAACATAAGTTGTATTAGTTGCCACCAATACTGAATATAGGACCAAGTTTAAAACTAACCATAGAACAGATTAAATGCAATTACATACAAGTGAAGGTAAAGATTCTCATCGTTTAACTATGCTAAATAATAATTTAAATCTATCTTTTCATGAGACCTGCCATTCCAGTGACACATTACCATGTTGGCATGTTCAGTTTTTTTTCTTGCATATATTAGTATACTTTTCCCTTGAAAAAAAAAAAATTTAAATGAAGAAAGTTGCATGGCAATTGTATGTAGTACATAAAAAACAAGGTACAAAGAAATCCAGTTTGGTACCCACTGAATTGGTACAAGTTAATTCAAGATAAGAAACAATATTGGGACCTTATTGGTCCGTTCACATATATTTAATTTCTAGATGCCATTAAATAGAAAACATGATTCAAAATCATCTAAAACAAAGGATAAAACACTTCCCAAATCATTAAAAATATTTGATATAAATTAGGTAACAAGAATATTCTAGAATAAAGTAGGCAACACGGTGGAGGACAAACCGAATCTTCCACTGGACAAAGGTTCTAATTTAACTGTGCTTTTGAAATATTATACAATTGTAAAAGATCAATAGTTTAGGCCAGATCAGATCTACAATATTATATACCTGAAGAACTTCTTTTTCCCTTGATGCCTTCCATAACCTGAACTGCTCAGACTCCTGTTTGATTTTTTGTTGCAGTTGAACCTACATAGTGCACACTTGCATCAACACTGAGAGTACAAAAGACTGTTTCGTGTACATAGGTCTAATATTCTGTAAAATGGCACCTTCTGAGTCTTTATTCTCTGAATTTCTTCCTGTAGTCGTTTTGCTGCCTCATCACTCCTTTGTTTTTGTCTAAGGAGTTGAGCTTGAGCATCTTGTTTCTTCTTCAACTCAGCGACCTGAAAAGAAGATATGGTTATTCTCTATAATGATACTTGGATGCGCAAAAAAAAAACAAAATTAGATTCACCTGTCCTTCAAGAAAATTCAACTTTTGAAGATAATCTGCCTTCAGTTTTTGAGCACTGTCATCGGAAGTGGATGAAATATTTGCAAGATTATACCTCAATTCCTCTATCTCTTTCTGCCAGTTGACAGGAGAAATAACTGAACAATATATCCATAAAAACCTAAATATGAAAGCATAAGTATTACAAGTAGACAACTAACCTGCAAAGCCCTCTTTTGATGTTCCAGTTCTTGAACTTTCTTCTCATAATGTTGTTTAAGGACTGAGGTATCACCACTTGTAAACCGCTTCATTTCAGCCTTTAGCAAATAATAAACATTATGGAGTAAATATACAAGGCCACAGCAATGCAGAAACAAATGAACAAATTATGGGTAGATAGAAGAACAAATACTGGTTCCAACTCCAACCCTAGTGGATTAAATAAAACACTTGCCACCTTCTAACTTAATTTCCATAGTTATGACAGAATTCTAGACAGTAATATCAATTTTTTTTTTTATAAGTAGTATTATCAGTTTATCAAATAATTAAAGAACCTTTTTACAACATATTATTGTAACTTCATTCACAATCTCTATCCAGAAGATAGAAATGTAAATATCACTAAAAATTAAGTGCAAATTGAACCATTCTAGAGGAAAGCTATTTAACATCCCAAATAAACCAAATTGACAATAAAACAAATGTAATATCTACTCTAAAATTCTCATGCTTCATTTTTCTAACCAAATCTTACTCATCTTGAATTTCACACCAGATCTAACATGCTAAAATACTGGAGGAATGTGTTTTATTATACCAAATATGAATTTTAAGAAAATCAACTAAACCATAGAACTAAAAGATAAATGAAGAAACCCACAAATGAATGAATCAGACTTAATTGTAAGAATGCTCTTCATCAAGGGTCTGATAATTTAATTCATCAAACAAAACTGAACAAGTTCAGGGATTTTGCAATTTTGTGTGTGATCACACAATTTGAATGTCACTTAAAACGATGCCCACATAGAAAGAGTCAAAATTTTAATTGAAGGGGACTTCACTTATCACTGAATACGCTCTGTGAGAATCAACTTAAAGTTATTATTGAACTTGATTAAATTATCATCCAAAAGAAATCAAAATGTGCAGATTCAAGAATTAAAGTCAGCTCTTAAAATTTTCAGCACTTATTTTCAGTTTTAACGAACACCACCTATGTCCAAGCTTGGCAGCCTGGTTACTGAAAATGAAACCTTTCTGTCTCTCCCAGTATTGTTGACCTTTGTCATCTTTCTATATCAATGCAAGTCAAATCCCTTAATTACAAATATATTGTCTCAGCAAACACAAAAATAGCGACAAGTGGCTAAGATCACTATCAAAAAAACAAAAATCAAAGTGATTGAATTTCATGATCTGAAACAACTGAGATAAATGCAAGAACTAAGGTATATGATAGACACGATTAGTATAAGCAAATGTCTACCTCCTTCTGTTCAAGTCTTTTATCCAACTCTTTCAGCTCATTGTCCAATTTCTCTTGAAGAGAAGAATGCTCTAGCTCCTCCTCTTCAGTCTCACCTGTGTGATTAAAACATTGTAATTTCCATTTCTTATGTAGCTTAGGGCAAAATAAGAACAAGAAAAAAAAATAGAGATGATCAGTAATATTAGAATATTGCCTGAAAAAGAAAATCTAATGCAAGTATAAATTCTGTAACTATAAATGCAACCAACATAGATTAGAAAGCCTTAATGCAATGCCATGCACCAAAATAGGAAATGTTAGTTCCTACCCTGACTGCAAAATACAACCTTCCATATAAAGACATGAATTTGTAGAAATACTTAAAAGTTAAAACAATAGGCTGTAAAACAGCTAATGGTAACTTACAGGCTATGTCAACAACTTTTCCATCAGAGACTGATGAAAATTCATGAAGATTTGTTAAAGATAAATTCTTCGAGGGAAGCCCAACATCATCCGCATCAAGACAATTAACAAGTTCAACACGCCTTGAACTATTCAAGTTTTGCAAGCGTAACAGTTCCACCTCCAATTCCTGAACTTTTGACACATATTTTTTCAACACATCACAATCCTGAGAAGAAATTTTGAAACTTAGTTTAGCAACAATCAAGAGTGTTGAAATAATCACAAGCAAATTCCAAGTACCAACTCACTCAAACCTGATTTGCGTTTGAGTCAATTTCATCCCAAGATTTACCATTTCGAGCCAATTCAATGTTTGCACTCAGCCTATCTTTTTCAACCTAAAATATTAAATACATGAAAGATATTTGCTTTTAAAGGACAATGAAAACATAGTAAGAATCTCACTAAAAAGTTAACAAATAATCAATGCGACAAACCTGAGCATCAATAGCACGTTGTGTCAAATGCTCACAAGTGATTCTACGTTCTTGAAGTTCCCTCTGTAACTCTTGATTACTTGCTTCAAGCAAAGATACCTTGTGCTTGAGAATCTGGAGAACATAATATAAGTTCAACATCCACAAACATAAGGCAAGGGCTCATGCAGATAATTCAGTGTACCTGAAGCTCTTCAAAAGGTGCATTGGCATCTCCACGAAAGTAAAGAAGCTCAGTCTGCAATTGTTCAATTTGGCTACGCATACTTTGCATCTGAGCTGCCATTGGGTCACGATTTATCTACAAGTAGAAAATCAAACTTAGAAGCTTTTAAATATGAATGCAACAAAAATTAATACAGAAGTAAATTAGTTGTGTTTAAGAAGAAATCTTACAACTGCTTTGTTTTGAATGTTCCGAGCACGATTTGCATACTTCAAAGTGTTCAGTGTTTCTTCCGCATTTGTGTCTGCGGGACTTATACAAGCTACATTCATATTCACATAAGAAAATGAAGTTATTAGAAAGCAAAACATGAGATGCCTAACTCATAAAAGCTATCCACTACCTGAACATAATTAAAATATAAATGAATAGCATACCAATCATAACTGTTTTGCTGTTTCCTCCAAGAGAATCCTAGACAATCACATTACAGTTATTAGCAATAAAATTTTCTTCTCTTGAATAAGTAAAACAGTGTCACTTGAACATTTTAACATTACATTGCAGTCAGACACATTAACAAATAAATTATCAACTAAAACATTGAAAATCATGCAATGCAGAACCATCTAAGCAATGCCTTTACAAACAATGCCAACAATACTTAGGAAATTAGTCTGCTTCCCCCTTTTGAGGAATGATTATATTACATCATCCCAAATATTTACAAGCATATAACAATCAATACAATTTTATCAATTGGAAAAAGAAAAAAGAATGAGAAAAAAATGACTGGTTAGAGATTCAACCGCTAATCTGTCACTAATATAAAAAAATTTTAAAACATATGCACAATATTTTTGGTCCCACATTCTGAAATAATTCACTAAATGTTAATATATAAAGATAATTATCCCCTTGCCTGTAGAAGGCGTGTCAATTTGCTATCTCGGTATGGAACATGACCTCCTTCTTTCCGCTTTTTCTCATCGCCTAAAGCACATATCACGTTACCAAGAGCGAGCAGTCCCTTGTTGATATGAATGCCTAGACCAAGAAATAATACTTTTAGAAAGAAAAAAACAAAAACAAAAAAGAAGTAGATAGTTTTGGACCTCAAAAATTTATAAAAGGAGGTAACTAAGACTAAAACATTGAGAGGCACTTTGTCATCGCCCCATTCCTAGATTCTATTCCATCAAATTCAAGATGCTCTTTTCCGGTTTCAGTTTCAAAAAACATAAAGACTATTACCTTCTCGAAAACGCATCCCATCTGCTCCTGTTCGTTTTGCTCGTTCAGAACCAGCAAGGTCCACTAAATGAAGTTTTGCACACAAAATATCATCATCATGTATTGTTCCAGTTGTGCAAGAACCAGTTTTCTTTTGCTCCATTGATATAGTAAAAATGGCATGTGAACGACTGAAACATAATGGAAAAAGGTTAAACACAAAATGGTGTAACATGTAATAGTGTGCAAAAAAAAAAGAAAGGGTAGAGGCGGATAAGCGAACTATATGGCATGTGCTAAAATAATAAAAAGGACAACTCTAGTAGTTTTTTTAATTGGGTGGATTGCTTTCTTGATCTCAAAGAATGGTAAGATATCAAATTAAAAATAAAATAAAATAAAAAATAAAAAACCTTTTTTATCAATAAATCAATTAATTGCATAAAAATGAAAAATGAAGCAAATAAGTACGATTTATTTAAAATTAAATATAAAGAGTATGTCTGCCCTAATTACCCCCATCAAGAAGTATGATTTAAAAAAATAAGCCCTCCAGGATTGTTATGAAGAGAGATAAAAACAAGAACTTTTATTCCTTAAATTTGTATTATACACTCGAGCAATTACTTCTAGAGAAAAAGATCTGACAGTTTGTTACTCTTGTTAATATTATCCCACCATCCTCAAAGGAACATGATATTTACCTAGTTATTATCATTGCTAATAACATTCTTTTTATAAAGACAAGCTTTTACCATTTAGTTTCAGAAGTAACAAACAGAAAACTTCACTAAGCATGATAAACAACACAATAACTACAGAGAATGGATGGTTTCTACAAATTCAAAAGAGTATAAGATTTCTAAATGGATCTTCACCAATAAACAACACCAACAAAATTATTTCTTCTTCAGAATTGAAGGACTTGACAAACTGAGGAAGAAAGCTCAAGAAGCTGATTGATAGTGCAATTCTTTGGACAATTTTGCAAGGAGATTATCCCATGATTATCAAAAATAGAGTTTCTCTGGTTCAGATTGTGTCATGTTCATCCATGATTAAAGAAATAGAGAGGATTGCATTTCATAATTCACAAGAAAACTGAACACAGCACATAACAGCGAGAAAATCATCATAATACACATATTTTACTACTTAGTGTGTGTGTCTACATATATATATATATATATATATATATATATATATTTAATGCACCTTGATTGGCTATTCATATTTGTGCTTCCTGTAGCACGGGATAATGAGCCACACAACAGATAGGAGGCCATTTCTTCTTTTGTCTTAACCTCCACCTCAGTTACACCAGCAAGTGTGATACCCCCAGTCACCGTTTCTCTTATTTGGATAGGATTTCTGGCTGGTCCAACAGGCTTTGCTAGAGATTCCCTGTCACCTTTAGAGAAAGCTGTAGGATTGGAATCCAGCAGATCAAATACCTCTTCTTTAAAAATCTGCAAGATCACAAACTCAGTGTGCGCCCATATGAACAGCTAGCACCATGAATAAATTAATGTAAAACCAAAAACAAATCATAAGGGCAGCCAGAATACAGTTTGCATCTCTTACCTCAATAAATGATACTCTAATTAAAAACTCAGTGGAGTCTTTCATCTCCTCCACTTTTGAGAATATGGTTTCCATCACTTTAGGAATGATCCCGCCATTATGTTCTTCTCCATTATAGTTCGTACCCATAGTGTATGTTTTTCCTGACCCCGTCTTTAACAACAAAAAAGCACACAAAACTTAACAAGCTTAGGGTTTAAAGGAGATTGTAACAGTGATGAAATTAGGGGATTTTAAGTGACCAAATTAAGCAACAGCAAAATCTGGTGATTAAAGCAAAATGATGCGAAAAAAACAAAGGAGACATTTATTTGAGAAACCTGGCCATATGCGAGAACTGTACTATTGTAGCCGTGCAAAAGTGCATCAACTAGTGGAGCAACACACTCATCAAAAATTCGAGAAGTTGGGTGCCCCGTGCTGCCAAAAACATAATCGAATGTGAATGCATGCGATCCAATTTGCACCTGTTTTTACATTCAACAAGAAAAACAAAAATCAATCTACAGTTCTACACTCCACTTTTTCTCGACTCCAAATAAGAATTTTATAAAAACTATAATTGGAAACATACATTGCTAACAGCTCATTTAGGAATTAAGATACATTTTTCACGTATTGACATACAATACAACACCAAACCTGTGGTTCACCAGGCGCTACGGTGACGCAGTCTGTGCAGCCAACTAGAAGCTCTGCAGTTACCAGAGGCCTAACATTAACCGCAACCCTAACGCATTGCGACAAGTCCTTGGTTTCAGAATTCTCCATCTTGTATCAAACCAGATCGCAAAATAAAAACCCTAATTTGATTGGATCAAAACCAAATTTAGTAAATATATATATATATAAATAGGGCTCGAAACTAATATGCAAATTAAGATTTCAGGCAATACATTTTGCATACAAAGAAAATTATCAAAATTACATTTACATAACAAATATTAACACCAATATGTGTGTGTGTGTGTGTGTGTTGTGTTGTGTTGTTTATATATCTAGATTAAATAAGAGATAAAAATGGAAACTTTGGATTAGGTTTGAGCTGAAACAATCTATAAAATTGAAATGAATATTAGAACACAAGGTTTTGTGTGTGTGTGTGTGAGAGAGAGAGAGATGAGTTACCGGCAAGGATGTGAGAACGGGAATGGCGAAGAGGAGAGAGAAAGAAGGCTGTTTGTTTCGAAATGGGGAGAGAGAAGCCAAAGATCTAGATGAATAAATTGAATTGAATTGAAAAGGCGCTCAGGTCCGAATTCAAATTTCAAGGTGTCACGTGCCAGCAGTACGGTGTTTGGTGTCGCCTCAAGTGCGTTGAGTCCCGGTTTTTGTTGGGGCCTCGTTGGACAACTTGGACGGCCTCAATGCTCGCATTTGTTTTCGGATCCAATTTTTTTTAATGTATAGTAGTAAATTTCAATTTTCATGAAATTTATTTGGATAAAAATTTATTCATTACGATTTTTATTTTTATTTTTTCGCCTAGACAAATTATATATTACTATTTTGTTCCCTTTGTAAATGAACCCTCACTCATCACTGTTTAATGGCTTCCAAACATAACTTGAACTAAAATAGTTACCATAGACAACAGTTATATATATATATATATATATGTGTGTATATGTATTTTTTTTATTTATGAAATACTACTGAATTGACACAAAATTTGAGATTATTGAAAAAAGTTAAATATTTTTTTTAATAAATCTCTTAATTCAAGAGCCAACACGAGAGTTCGTTGACTTCTATCATGAGACGATAAAATCTAAAAAGCAAAAAGTTATTCTTAATTCTCTCACCATGAGAGTGCATCCTTAGTTGATAGATTGAAAAAGTATGGGATATTTCAACTGATTAATGTTGTTGTGAGATTTAAATTGGATATGAATTTAATCTTTGACTTTATATGTATAAATTAAGAACATGTTTGGTACACATTTTTTTTTTGTATTTTTTGTTTTAACACAAAACAAAATAAATATTTTGAATAGTAACCGAAAGTCTGTTTGGTAATGTCCATTTGCTGTAATATTTTCAAAAGTAAAAAAATGAGAATATGTTTGGTAAGAAGGTATTGCAATTTTGAAAAATATAATGATTAATTTAAAAATGTAATTTAAGAGTTCTTCTTTTGTCTTACCGTTCATTGCTGACTTTGATCGGAAATGTATGTGCTTCCATTTTCGAATTAAGTGTCATCGAACACCATCCCTGCATATTCCCACCTTTCTGTTCCATCGTGCGAAAATCTCTACATATTTTACTTCTCTGTGTATCGTGAGAACCTTCTATCAGATCGATCCAATAATTTCTTGATCGATCCAATTTTCCCTTGGATCGATCTCCATTCTATACTTACAAAAAATTTTGAACCTCTGAAAAATCACATTTCTGTGTATCGTTCGAAGATGTCTGTAGGTTTTCACCTGTTGGATCGATCGATCTTTATGCTCCATTTGACTTTGACTTTTTGAATTTCAAATTTTAATTCAAAAATATTTTTCAATTTCACAAATATTTCAAAAATATTTTTCAATTTCTCAAATATTTCAAAAATCCAAAAAGATTTTTAATTTTCAAAAATTCAACAATTTCAAAAATTTCAAAAACTTTGTCGTTTTGCAGGTTCGATCGATCTGAACACCTTCATGATCAATCTGTGTTTGATCGATCTAATCACCCAAGTGATCGATCGAACAGGTCGGGAACAATTTTTTAAAAAATAAACTCAATGGTCATTTGGATCGATTTCAACATTGATCTAAAGCCCCTTTCTTCTCTCTTGACGTTTTCTTCATCTTTCCCACCTCCAGTGACATCCCAGAAACTCCAAAACTCCATTTCCGATCTCCTCTCATTTCATCTCTCTCGGTCCACTTATCTCATTCTCTTTTTGGTAAGTTTTTATTTTGTTTTCAATTTTCGAACTTAATATAATGTTTTCCACCTTGCCATGTTCAGATCTAGAGCTTTCGTGTTTGATTTGTTGCCATTTTTGAAGTTCCAAGCATGTATATATATATATATATATATATATATATATATATATATATGTATATATTTGTATATATATTTTAGTTTCCGAATTTAGATCCGGGGGTCACGTGCCGATTTAAGTGACCATTCTTGCTTTGTTGAAGTGTGTACGAGGTCATGAACATAGTCGGATGCCCCCATGTTGTCCACGTCACAGATCCGTGACTGTTCACATTTTTCCACAGGTTCGATCGATCACATTAGTGCTCTGATCGATCAGAGTATAATCGATCCCAATTATGTCATGATCGATTCAACTTAGATCGATCCCATCTTTTTCATGATCGATCGAACTTCACTATTTTGCATATAGAATCCCTGCACCCTCATTTGTGTTCATGCTGTCATATTATTGCCCAATGCCTGTGTTTTTCACATTGGATGCATTCCATACTTATCATGTCTAGCATGTTTCACATATTCGAACATTCATTGTCTATATTTGGCTGCATTATCACTTGCATAGATTTATGTACTTAACTCTGAGTTGTCTATCTTAACTTGACAAATATGTTTCTATCTGTGTGGTTTCAATTTTATTTCCTATTACTAACTATATTTGCAAATGTTTTTTTCTTTTTACAAGCCATGACTTGGTACAAGACCACTGCCTGCGGGGCATATGACCGCAGGGTGCGATAGCTAGTGGAGGAGCTTCCAGAGCCAGCTCCCACTCCATCCGAGCGCTCCTCCTCTTCTGCATCTGCTTCTTTATCTTCATCGGCTCAGGAGGCCGAGCAGGCACTGCCTCTATCGCCTATTACACCACCAGCACAGCTCGGCATGGTCTGCGACAGAGTGAATCGCAGATATTCGCACCTTTCAATGGCGCATGAGTCCGTTTTTTATGATACTTTCTTCTCCCGGTCAATTCTGACCAAGGAGGCCTATGATGAGATCTACTGGCACAATATCTCTCCTATTCTGGCCCCGGTGACCAATCCGGTTTACCTGCGGCTCTTCCCGTTGTTCTTTCAGAGCCTCCGGCCGACCCCGAGTAACCTGGAGGAGTTACGGACCACCATTGACAGCCATTCCATTCGTATTACAGTTGAGACACTGGCCACAACCTCCGAGTGCCCACATGTCTGCCCTCCTGACATTAATTATCCTATTCTTCGGAGAGCATCCGATGCAGACATGGCCACTGCTATAAATAGCCCTGCTACTGCTAGCGAGACATTTGCCACCAAGACTCACTTGCCCGACAACCTATGGTTCTTTGATTCGGTTTTATACCGAAATGTATTTATGGCGAGGCATAAGATTCAGAGGCGTTCAGATTTTCTTGCAGCCTTATATACCTTCTACACAGGGCATTGGTTCTCTGTCTCGGCACCCTATTGGAGTTTTATGATAAAGCTCTACACAGATTACATCAGCAAGAACAAACCTAAGCAACCCAAGTTCCTCCCCTTTGCGCATTTGATTACTGAGATTCTCAGAGACTAGCGCTATCCTTTTCATCCTCAGGAGCAACTTAAGACAGGGGCTTGCCGCTATGGCAAGAAGGACTGGAATAAGAGCTACAATGCTCTTATTAGGAGTCTAGAGGACGAGGCCGTCTTGGTAGCCGAGGAGGCAGAGATGGCAGAGACGGCAGAGATGGAGGAGGCAACGGTAGCAGCGTACCCGTTATTATAATGTTAAAACGTGAAAAAACATAAAATTGGTGTTTTGATTTTTAGCAACTATTCACGAGACATTTCGACATAGTGCAAAATTAAATATTTTTTATCAAGCATATTTTTTTCGCTATTCATTGCTACAGTACCCAACAAAAATAAAACGGGTCCTAAGTAAATTACCCTCGTAATTGAAACCTACATTGTCATTTAATGAATTATATATATATATATATATATATATATATATATATATATATATATATATGTATAGAAAATGATACTTTAATGTTCACAATGAAGATTTGCAGATATATCGATGGTCCGATCATCGTTTAGATAAGAAATTGTGTCTTAAAAATGTTTTTGTGCTTGTTAACCATTAGACAAAATCGTTAAAAATGTTGAAAATGATATTTTAATTTTTCTTTTTCTTTTTTTAAATTTTCACAATAAAGATTTGCAGACCGATGGTCCGATTATCGTTTAGATAAACAATTGTGCCTTAAAAATGTTTTTGTGCTTGTTATCCATTAGACACTTCTTTAGTAATATTTGGATTATCATAATTACAAATAAATGTTTTATTTAATAGAAAGTTATGTGAAAGATCACGTCGGTTCTAATAGAGTAATGTTATAAAAATTGATTCATTTTTACAGTGACTCCAATAAATAATTAAGGACATGTTCGGCTAATGCTTTTGCTTCATGTTTTTACTTTTGTTAGTATACTGTAGCGAAACAAAAGCACGAAGATGTTTGGTAACGTTTGCTGCCATTTGAATATTACCGAAGCACTTCCGAAAAAGAGGCCAAAATCAGAAGCACAAAAATTATCCTTTTGTTTGCTTCCGCGTTATAGCAAAGTACTATTAAAAAAATAATTATAATTTAAATGACATTTTTAACTAACCATTCAATTTTTCAAATTTGCAACACTTTTTACCAAACATGCTTTAATATTTTTGTTTCCAAAAATCTTGTAACAAATTTACATTACCAAATAATAAGTTTCGAAATAGTGTTGAACACACTCGGGTTAAAATAAAAGCACAAAGCAAAAATAATTTCCAAACGGGTCATAAGGACTTGTTTGGTATGTGCTTTGTTTTTTATATTTTTATTTTTGCCGAGTACTGTAACAGTGAATATTGAAAAAATCGCGTTTGGTAAAAACTATTTTGTTTTGCACAATGCCGAAACATTTCGTGAATAGTGACCAAAAAGCGAAACACCAATCTTGTGTTTTTATATATTTTTCCGCACTGTATCTTTGATACGGTAGAAATGAACAATAGTAAATTTTTTTTGTTTGAAAAACTCTTGAGGAGTAATTTTAAACTAATTATTATATTTTTTAAACTTCTAACACTTCCCAAACATACTTTTATGTTTTTACCACCAAAAATCTTGCAACTAATGGATCTTACCAAACAAGCTAAGGCTGGTTTTCATGTTTTCTTGCAACAAATGTTTTCATGTTTTTTTTATACCAGTTTTATGTTTTTTACCAAACATGTTTTCACGTTTTCTTTCAAATAATATTTTCATGTTTTTTTTTTTTTTACCAATTTCGCGCTTTTGCTTCCAATTATTGTTCAAAACACTTTTACAACAAAACATTTTTTTTTTTCCTTAAGTTAAAAAAAATGCAAAAAAAAAAAAAAAAACAAAAAAAAAAAAAAAAAAGGTACCAAACAGGCCGTTACTTTATTAGGAGAGTTACATTAATTCAATTAGCCCCAAACAAACGATCACAATTTGATTTTGTTTCACATTCCATTATTATACATAACAATAATTTAAAATGCTGATGACGTCCAAGGCTGGCTTATTCCTTGTGGATATCATCTCTTCCACTTTCCATTTATTGCTGGTTAAAATGTAGCCTGAAAAAGATATAATTAATAAATAAGAAAATGAAACCAATAAAAACAATTTCCCAGAAGAGAAAAGGTTGGCATGTTTTCAACAAAAAGAAAAGAAGAATAGGCTTCGACTTGGAACAATTTATCATAAAAATAAAAAAACAAAAAAAAACAAATGGAGAATAAATAACAGAAGATTAACATAATAAAATGATTCCCCCACTGTGGTCTACATCCATCGTACATAAAATGAAACAATATACTTTTTTTAAATTATATTCTTTCTTGATTTTATTTAGAGTGACCTCTTATATTTATAAGTGAAAGCATGCAAAAATGCAATATATGTGAAATATATATTGATCACATGAATTGCCCTTGATAATATCTTCTAACACTCCCCTATGTCGCCACACGAAAATTTAACTTGAATGTCCAGCTTGAACTTAAAAGCCAAATTTTTATTTTTGAAATGAATTATTACATGTTAAGTGCAATAAGAAAGATTGAGAGTTCGAGCCTTAATAGAAGTAATATCGTGATTCGTGAGTGGCAGCTTTTGCTTAAAATTTTGACAAAAAAGAAAGGGTATGCAAGAGTGAAGAATACTGTAATCAATAAATTGTGATTAGAAAACGTGGCATATAATCAACTACTAACTCAAGTATTAGTCAGTGACCTAATTGGTAGAACGGCCAGATCCCGAGGTTTGCTAGACATGTAATAACAATAATAATAAATCAACAAATAACTCTTCTTAACCTAACAATTTGAGGGTGAAGGGAAAACAATTAAGATGAAAGAAACGGAATAACGATTTTAAGTAGAATTAGGATCCACGTGTTGTGATACCATGTAAGAAAGAGATTGAGAAGAGAGAGAAGAAAAATTAACAAAAAAGTTTTAGCGTAGTACAACCTACATTAAACAACACATAAAAACGCAAAAAATTACATCATATTTAATAATATTTTCTCTTAATGTTATTTAAAAAACCAGTTATAGGCTAAAAAACACAATAAAATGATAAATTTTATACATATATTGATAGACAATTTTTAAAATCAATCATACGAATCACTCCTCTGTATATCCCATCAAAATTGCAACTATAATATTCTCTAGCCATCATTGATGATGCACAATACAATACTACAGACGGTCTAATCCTAAGAAATCAAATTCAAATTAAAAGTAAGATGGTGTCATGGAATTTTTTTCAGAGTAATTATTATTGGGTTTTCGGATCAATCCAACTAGTTGGACAATATAACATTTACCTTTTCGAATTTTTTATAATAAATGTACATTGATCGGCCTGGGTACTACACGCCCATAATGTACACAAGGACAAAAAATGCAAGTAATGGGACTAGACAAGGCCTAGCCCCAAAACAGCAGCCCAATGTGCAATATTCAAAAGAGGAGTTAACCGTTGCAACGGCTCACTCGGTTTTCAAATCCCAAGAATAGGTAGTTGCTCAAGAGTTCAAATTGTATAGAGGATTAAAATCTAAATCACACAAAGCGGGTACGGGAGTGGGAGTGAATGCGAGAGCGTGTGGCAAAACCCAAGTCACACATTGTAGAATCAAGATTAAAACAAAGCGTAAGAGCGGCACTCATTTAGAAGAATTATGTAACTAAGGTTAGAACTACTAGCAGTTACTTAACGGATATTCAACAGTTTCTCTTCTTTCGGCCTTGATAGGCTTCAATTGTTGGGCCTTTGGTCTTTGTTGTTTCTTTGGGTTGAACCCTTTTGGTCTATTGGGCTATTGCCCTGCTCAAGCCAGCTTGGGCTCACCACAGTCCTTGTAAATATATATATTTTTATTATATATACTTTGCTTAACCTTGCCCGAAGAGGAACAAAAAAAAAAAAAAAATACTAATCATTTGTGCCAATATGTTCTGCAATTATGCAAATTACTGTACTACAAGTGTGTATAAAGATTGATATATGCTTGTAGAATGAACGAATTCCACGCGCGCATGCACGCGCACACACATGCGCGCGCACACACACTTAGAGATGGATCGTATGCAGAATATGAAACAATCACTCGTGAACTTCGATGAACATGGGTGACAGAAAAAAAAAAAAAAAACAACTTCGATGTACATGTAATGCTTACCTTAGAGACTGTGGTTAGAATATGTAAGTTCATGAGAAATGATGCATGAATATGAAAGGTTAGCATTAAATATGCATTCAAAACTCATGGGTGGTGATTATTAAGTACTACATATAGAGTAATGACACGTCCAGTGTCCGAGAGCTGGTGAGTAAGAGATGACAAATGGTTGGCCCTAGGCTTAGGTGGTCTCCAAGGCCTCCAATTTGAAAGAACTTCAAATTTTTGCTTAGGGTCTCTTAAAAATTGAGAATCTCTAAGACCGGTCCTAATGACATCATCCCCACTCACATAAAATAGTGAGATACATCCGACTTTCTAACTACGGAGTACTCATCATTATTCTTAAGTATACATTCTATATACACCTAAAAACCCTCATGCATATGGAATGCTTGCCTTAATTAGAAACTGTATTTAGATAACACTTCCACATGAATATATATATACATATAAACATAAGCTTACCCTAGTTTCAGGGATGTCTCAGAGCAATCGTCTACTAGTGGAGGAACATTTTTGCAGCTGGAAAAATTGGTGAGAGACTCCGAAAACCGGCCTTCTTCAAGGTTCGTAGTATCTGAGTACTGATCAGCAGCAACAAGGAGTCTCTTTCCTTTAGAAATCATCACCATCTGTGAAAAAAAAAATTATATAAATTAAAAGTTACATAAAAAAAATTAAATCATATATATGTGTTATATAATTAAAGGCAATGAAAAGTCTTATTACCTGCTGTTCCAATTGCTCTTTCTCTTCCATCAATTGAGCACCCTACATATATGTTTTTAAGAGGAAGTTCAGGGGAGAAACTAAAGTAAATTATTTGGGATAATTTTAAAAATATTTTGTTTTAGGACACTGCTTAAAAACCAATAAATCAAACCATGATTTTACAAAAATTAACTAAAAATGAAAATGAATTATAGTTCAATGGTTACCTTCCAAAAACAAAAAAACAAAGAAAAAAGAAATTCGAGTTCAATGGTGCACTAACAAACATTTCTTTGGAAATAGTTTGTGGGAAAATGATTCAATGTGATATGTTACCAAACCTTCCGTTGAAGGCCAGCGATCTCGTTTATGATTCGTGCACTCTGAAACGAATGAAAAGCTGAAATTGTTAACATCTTGACATGTTTATATATATCATAATTAATAAGGAAAAAGAGAGAGACAAGATCAACTTTGGTGTCCAACACTCGGCTTAGTCCTGCTTCAAGCATTTTCTCTAATTGATGCAGTTCCTCCAGATTTAATCCTTGAAGATCCTCACCCCTCATCTGCCTATTTCAAGGACGCGCGCAATAGTTCAACATTAAAATGTTATTCAATAAAATATAAGAATATTTCTTTCAAACTATTTTATATATATATATATATATATATATATATATATATATATATGCATATATACCTCAATTGATGGCTCTTATCTGCATCTTCCATGCTCAATTTCAAGTGATTCTCATGCTCCAGCTAAAACAAAGAGCATAATCGGGATTAAATGTCTTAATTTTAATGATATAATTAAGGGGTTTGGGCTTCCCAAACAATGAAATTATTTATGTCTATTTAAGGCACAGACAAATTATTTTTACTATTAGACCATCCTCAGATTTTTGTGAGACTAACCACCATGACTCATTTGTAGGGACAAAACCAGTAATTTGTAAACTATAGAATATATAGAAAGTCTTTGTATAAGAAGTTACATATTCATCTTAAACAACGAATGAATATATAAAATATATAATCCTAAAAAATCTTGAAAGTGTATGTTCAAGAAGATTGTAAACTCGTTACAAATTAATATATGGAGAGAATTTTGGAATATTCATGGAACAAGAAAACCACATAACTACTAGTCTAGTGTTACGATGACTGATATGAAACATGCAAATTAAAACTGGCAACATATTTTACCTGCAGTTGAACCGAACATAGGTTTATTTCTCTGAGGTTATTATTTGAATACAGTTGATGCTTCTGAAGTATATCCTCCATGCTTCACAATAACATTTCATGTCATAAATTTTAGCCAATGTTTCAATTATTAACTTTATAAGAAGGCGTATGCAACTGCTAAATTTTAGTAAAAGTGAGAATGAGAATCGAGTTAAAGTAATCAAGGATCTATGAATTTCAATGTCATATAATTAAGCAGTCCACACTCAAAATTTCTGAGCACAATGCCTTGTTGAATGATTGAATAATGTTTCAACTAAAGGATATTAATAGTCCTATTAAGTATATATTCAAAAGTTTTCCATTAAAATTCCAATAGGAATAAGAAGCTAGCGAGCAGAAAGCAAAGAAATGCCAAACAAGCAAATGAGAAGCAAGCAACAACCTAGGAAGCACATAGATGGACCTGGGACACGAGTATGAAACAATACGGACATGGTGATGTGGTAAATTTTGAAAAATAAAACAGGAACCCGACAGTGATACATATATTATTTAATGGATAAAACACTATATTTTGCTACTTTATCCTTAGAATCAGGAATGAAGTTGCTAATTTAGAGTTTTGAAACTATATGTTTGTTGTTTTTAAAAAAATTATATTATTTTTCTAATTAACTCATAATATATTAAATCACGTTAAATCTCATTCTTCTAAAAAGAACATTTCAAAGTCACTCCGCCGTGTCCTAAAAGTGTCCCAAACATGTCTCTGCCGTGTCTCAGACTCAGTTATGTTCAATTAAAAAATAAAAAATTCAAATTTCAGGACACTTCAAACAGTGTTTGACATATGTCCGCGTAGTGTCCCAAAATGTGTCCAATACTGCTGCGGTACTCCTAGCAAAGTGTCCGAAATTCCCTGGCAGAAACAATCAAAGAAAAGCTAAATAGAAAGCAAACTAGAAGCTAGCAGACTAAAGCAGCATTGAGCAACAAAAAAACCGCCAAAACATCAACAACAATATCTAGGTATTGAAAACTTGGAGGTTTTAAGCTAAATCTTTCCTTATGAAAGCATGGCAGTCCATGAACTATGAAGAAAATGGTTTGCCTCTGATAATTGTTTACCCCTGAAAGTTCTATTATTTCTCTCTCATTCTTTTGAGATACCATACACACTGATAAGTATTCAAATGTTGCACATTTTAGCACCTAAGTTAGGATATTTTAGTCCATTAATCTTTCTTACTTTCCCGTTTTAGTTCTAATTTGTGTTTTTGTCTATTTCAGGTTAATAAGGTTCAAATGGGCTAAATATAGTCTTTTAAAGCTTTTTTGGAGTCAAGCAGAAAATCTGGAAAAAGTTCAGAAATTTGCCCTGGAGTATCCACGATCCATCGCAGAAGTTGGCGATCTATCGCAGAATCCTCAATCGATCGCAGCCACATCAGCAAGGGGATAAGGCTGCCACCACATCATTCATTTAAAGTCATAATCGATCACCGAAATTGGCGATCCATCGCAGTGCCACGTTAGCGCCAACTCAGTGGATAAAGTTGCCAATTGTCAAGATAGGATTGCCACGTCAGCCATGATCGATTGCAAAAATTGGCGATCGATCGCCGAATTGCTGGCAATGAGCTGTTTTATTTCCGACTTCACCCGATCTTCACCTAACTTATGGCTGAGGGATTAGATATTTTCAAGGCTTATTTTTTGACTGAATGACACTCCAAGGGGCTTGGTTTTTAAAGGAAAATGAACCATTTGTTAGGGGTTCACTCATTGTTCACTAGTTTTACTTAATTTTTAGCTACTTTTAGATAGATAGTTTCTCTTTCTAGGTTAGGGTTCTAGAGCAATAAAAGAGACAAGATCTTCATCATCCCTAGGGTTTTTACTAAGAAGACTGATAAGCACTGAAAAGTGCGTATTTAAACCCTTTAAGCTTGAACGTTATAGGACTTTATTCTATCTTATTTTCCCGTTTTAGTCTAATTTCATGTTATTTCTCTTTTCAGGCACTTATTCCCAAAATAAGTCAATTCAGCTGAATTAGAGCATAAAAGATGCAATCTCAAGCTTAGTGGAAGAAAGGAGCAAAGTGGTGGAAAACAGCATTCTTCGATCGATCGAACCAAGCTCCAATCGATCTCACAGTGATCGTTCCAACCATACCAAGATGGATCGAGCCTCTTGTCCTTGTCCTCAGGAAATTTCCCTCTTCGATCGATCTAACATTACTTCGATCGATCGGACATTTTTGATCTTATCCCCATCTACCACTTTTGTCCTTTTCCCAAAATATCCTGAAAATATCTCGGATTTGTCATTATTCCAAAAAAGGCGCCGCCATAGTTCGATCGATATGACCACCCTTGTGATCGATCGAACCTCCTTCAGTGCAAGAAAAACAGAGTTCCAGCCAATTAAAAGGTGTGCTCGTGGTGCAATCATTTGGAGGTCCTAGTGCACGAGGTCTGACCATTGGGTGTGACATTTGAGCTACCTATATAAGGATTTTGGGCTATTTTTACATATAGAATCTTAGAGAGGAACCATAGATAAGAGAGGTTGGAGGAGTCTAGCGATTAGAGAGACACACACCATTTGGGAATTCTTTCACTCATCTAGGGTTTCCATCAAGGAGGAGAAGATCATTCCTACCATGGAGATAGCCCTTGAGGGTTGGATGACTACATCAATGAGTGGCTAAACCATTCTCTTGGGGCTAGAGATAACCTTAAGCATGCCTCCTAGACTTTGATGTTTTGTAATTTGAAGGGATTTGTGTTGTAATTCTTGTCTTGACATTTAATATATATATGAATCTTGTTTCTACAATGATTTGTGTAGTTTAATACTTCCAATTGATCATTTCATTCTATTCATATGTCTATGTATGCTAGAATAGATGTTCATGTGTTTGTCTCTAGGTTTTGTGATATTGATGCATGTTTATGTGTGCTGATGCTATGATTCTAGTGATAGTCAAGGCATGCTGCTTACATGGAATACTCTTGATGTTTATTTGATGGTTCATACTTATTTCTTGATGGATTGTGCCTCCTCCTTAGTTTAATTAATTTAATTTTTATGTCCCTAGATTAGTTGTAGTCTAGTTGCCTTACTTTTTTAGATGTGAGGACAATCTATGCTTGTTGTTTGATATTCCATGCTTATGAATGCAAGTAGTATATTTCTCTAATTTGATGATGTGCATTGATTGTGGACTAAAAGGAAGGAATAATGGCTTAACTTGATATGTTGTGCTATTCACTAGTTTGGCTAGACAATGTATACTTATTTAGTCATCCATGCTTGTTGATTCAATCAATGACACACACTAGTATTGCAACATATAATTCCCCTTATCTATTACACATTAAGTGTCTAGGAAGGTAATATTTAGTGGTGACCTCTAAGTCCCAAGATCCTTCTCTTATATTCTCTACATTTTCTTCTACTTCAATTGCTTTACCTTGCATCCATTTAGTTGACATTGTAGTTTAATTAACCAATCAAAACATCTTTGATCACTCGACCTACTAATCCAACATGATTTCCAAGCCAAATACACCTCCTTTCCCTTGGGACAATCCCTACTCACCCTAGCTATATTTATAGTTAGAAGTGGTAGTGGCAATTTCTAAATTTAAACTTGGCCACACTACGCTTCTCTTTTGCATACTTTGGTGCATCGACACGACACACACCAAAGACCAAGAGGAAGAAGATGGATCCAAACTTGAAGATAGCCCTTAAGGGTTCCAAGATCACATCTATGAATGGCTAAACATCCTCTTAGGGTTTGGATGAACCCTAGGCTTGTACTTTAAACTCTAGATCTTTGACATTTTTGGGGAATTCATGTTGTAATTGATGTTTTGACCTTATGATTATATAAATCTTGATTTTATACATGATTTGTGTGGTTCAATTCTTCCAATTAATTATATAGTTTAATTACATGTCTATGTGTGGTTGAATTGAGGGTTATGTCTCTACACTAGTTTCTCTAGATTAATTATATGTCTATGTGTGATTAAATTGAGAATCTAGTGATGGTCATGCATGGTTATTATTGGTTACTCTTGTTAATTAATTTGATGGGCTATGCTCATGTTTGATGGATTGTTCTTCACCTTTAGTTTAATAGGTTGAATTTCCTTGTCTTAGTGTAATTGTAGTGTAATTGCATTTCAATTCCTAGATAGGAAGACAATCTATGCTTGTGTTTGATAGCCCATCCTTATGATTGCAAGTAGTATATTTCTCTAGATTAATGTGTGCTACAATTGTGGGTTTATTGAATGGTTAATGCCTTAACTTGATGATTTGTACTATACCCTAGCTTAAGTAGACAATTCATGCTTGTTTTTGATATCTATGCTCATTGTTTCAATTGAATTCTCCCAAATTGTTTAAGTCTAGTGGTTTAGAGGAAGAACTTAGTGGGGATTCCTATGCCCTAAGACCTCTCCCCTATTCTCTTAACCCTACTTTAATTTAGCTTTGTTCATTTGCATGCTTTAAAATTCAATTGTAGTTTAATCAAACCAAACCAAACCACTCTTTTGATCACTTGACTTACTAATTCGACTTTTATTCCAAATACCCTTACAATCTCTTGGGACGATCCTTTCTCACTTCGTACTACATAGTATAAGTGTTAAGTGGTTTTATAAATTTTTAAATGTGGTGGCCACTTGATACAATTCTAAATTGACACATTTTTGTACGTTAGTAAAGTCCACACCATGTTTTTGGTGCCGTTGCCAGGGATTGTCAACGGTCGTATTTGGAATTAAAATAGGAATTAGTACTCTTTTGATCCTTTGTCTTTATTTTTATTTTTTATTTTCTCACTTGTTATTCATGCAATTAGGTACTTGAAGGCAAGAAAAGCAAACATTGGATCTTGAAGCAAGCATTGAATCTTGAAGTTATTATTTGTGCTTGGGACCTTTGTGAGCAATTCTTAAACTCTTGTAGCTTAATTGTTCATTTCTATATATGCTTGAGATAGCCCTTGTTGAGACTGATTACATTGTTTAATTTCTTGTCCAAGCATAGGCCCTTGTCGTGGCTATTACTTTAATGTTGAAAGCATGGGTCCTTGTCATGGTCACTATTTTCTTGCATTGATATAACATGGGAGTATGGGAACATTGTATGTGGAGGATGGAGTTTGTTGTTGTTTGTTGTTGATTTTTGTGATTGTTGTTGTGTACTCGTGGTAGAAGGTTTCTTAGCATTCCTCTCTTCCTAATCTTGATCATCACATCACTTCAATGGAAAACCTCAATGAGAATCTTGGTTATCTAGACCCCAATTTTATCTAACAACCTCCTTTAGGTTAAGTAGCTCCTGTAGTTCAAGCTCCACATCTTCAAATGGTCATTCGTGACCGTTAACACTCCAAATGTGTACAATGCACCCACATGCATTCAATTGTTAGACTTTAATGCAAATCAGTATCAAATCAAACCCGAGACCATCCAAATGTCCACTTTTCTATGGGTTAAGCAATGAAGAACCCTACAAACATTTGGATGAGTTTCTTGAGGCATGCTCCACCGTGAGATACACGGATGTGCCGGAGGAAGTTCTTAGATTGAAGCTTTTCCCACTCACTCTTCGGGATAAAGCCAAATATTGGTTCAATAACTTGGGGGCAAATACTATAACATCATGGGCTTTAATGCAATAAGAATTTCTTAAGAAGTATTACCCCGTAAGTAGAACTAACTCCATGAGACAATTGATTATTGAGTTTTCCCAAGAAGAGGGTGAACCTCTACATGAAGCGTGGGAGCGTTTGTACGATTTTTTACGGAAGTCCCCACATCATGGACTTCCCAAATGGCAATTAGTTTAATATTTTTATAAGAGCTTATCCGATACCCACAAGGATATGGTAGATGCTTCGTGTGGAGGATCATACTTGGAAAAGAATGAGGATGACGTTTGGCACCTCCTTGAGAAAATGAGTGAGAATTCCATGCATAGATTTCAATCCTCTCGGGTAGGTCGTAATTCCAATGTAGGGAGGAAAAAGAGTTCAAGCTTGTATCAAGTGGAGAGTCCAAATGAGATTGTCGCCAAGGTTAAAACTCTTACTCAAAGGCTTGACCAATTCTTATTAAGTCAAAAACCGGCAACTCAATCATCTTACTCTTCCTACCCTCAAAATGAGATGTGTCTAACTTGTTCTAGCAATATCCATAATACTTCCAATTGTCCTCATAGACAATTTAATTCAAGTGTGCAACAAGAACAAGTTAATGTCACATTTGCTCATCCCTACTCCAATGCCTATATCCCGGGATGGAAAGATACATCAAACTTCTCTTGGAAAAGCCAAGGAGACGGTGCAAGCCCTCCTCAAGGTGGTTTTCAAGTGAAGTATGTGCCTCCTCACCTTCAAAAAACACTCTCTTAAGGGTATCATCATTCCTCTTATCCTTATCAAAATGTGAATCAATATTCTCACCCTCAAGCTTCAAATTCTTAATCTTACTCCCATCCATCTCAAGTACCTCATAGGATTTTCACCTTTGAGGATAAGGTTTTGGCGGCCTTGGGTGGCTTAGAGGCGAATAATCAATTATTACACTCTCATTCTCAATCCATCTCAAAGCTTGAATCCCAAATCAGGCTAATAGCTAATTCCATGAATGCGAGAGAAAAAGGTAAATTGCCTAGCCAAACCTTGCCTAATCCTAAGATTCATTACATGGTGGAAACAACTTCTTCATCGGAAGCTTCCACCTATGAGCAAGTGCAAGCCATTACTACCTTGAGAAGTGGTAGTGTAATACCCCTAAAATTAAAAAGGATATAATTGGGATTTTACTATTTATTTTAAGTGTTTATGTTTAATTGATTAAATTATTTGTTTTGTTCTTTATTTGATTTAATTGTTTAGTCTTTATTTGATTTAATTGTTTTAGTCTTTAATTTGATTTAATTGTTATTTGGGTTTTTGAATTGTTTTGTTGGTTAATTATTCTATGTAATTTTATTGTGGTTTTAATTAATTGGTTAATTGGATTTTTATTTTATTTAATTAAATTAGTTTTGATTGTTTAAAGGAGTTAATTAGGTTAAATTATTAGGGTATTTAGTTTATGGATCGTGTATTTGTCCGACTAGGGTTTAGTTGGTTTCCATCTCTCAATATAAGTAGACGTAGGTTTTTATATGCCTATATATATACTATTATAAGTCTGCTTAGGGTTGAAATCACAAACCTTATTCACGAGCAGTGAGTACAGAGAGTTTTAGAGTGAAAACACAGAGAGGTTGGGGAGACAAAACAAAGTAACTTCAGAGAGGGTTTTGGTCGTGGCTTGAAGGTCGAATCTAGGAGGAGGAAGGTTAAGCAGTAGGAGGTAGAGGTGACTGAGAACGGATGTCGTCGGAAAACTTAGGAAGACGGCGACGAGGTTTTATTCCAGGCAAGTTCTTTTCTTCCTCCTTCCCGTTGGCTCGTGTTCTGTGCACCTAGATAGTCTCTAGGGTTTAAGTAATTATTAATTGGAACTTACATGCTTACTATATGTTATATTGATGATCTTTACGTGTTAAAATCAATTCTGTTATACTGCATGCAAGTCTTGTTTCAGTTTTCTGTTTTAAGTATGTTATATTATTAGCAATTTTAGTTTCTATAATTGCTTTTAACCTCTGTAAATAAATCATGGGGTTGATACTGGGATTAAATAGGACTCCTAAGTTCAGTAGTGAAGAGGAACAAAGGGGTTGGAATGGAACTGTTATTACAAAATAGTTTCAGTTTTGTTCCTAAAGCATATTTAGTTCGGTTGCAAAATTTAGTCTTTGTAATTGTTTCCTATTGTGTTATCAAACCATTGGGATGCTTCTTGGTACTAATAAGACCCTTAAGATTAGTTTTAGGAACCAATTGAATGGTAAAAATGGGCCGAAGAAGAAGCAGCAGGTTGGAACCGGAGGAAAAAACTGGACTAGGGCTCTTTAAAGGGGAAGAGCCGGCTTTGGGAAGCCAAGAGCCGGCTCCCCTTCAGCAAGAGCCGGCTCCAAGAGGTTATGGAGCCGGCTCTAGGTGTGCAAGAGCCTGCTCTTGTATTTTAAGAGCAGGCTCCAACCTTTTGTGCGTACTGTGAATGGTTTCTAAGGCACTGTTTGATACTGTGGGCACTGTTTGAGCTTTTGGATGGTTCTAATGAGTTGTGGGGACTTCACAGAGGGTCTAAATGGTTAATTCTAAGTGTTATTAAACTTATTATTGCATGGTTTATGTCTCTATGTCAAAGGGTGAAACAGTATAAAAGCATACAACTTAGTATACTGGTAACGGCTGAAAAGAACCAAATTGCTTAGCGTAGCTTAATTGTGCTCAACTTAATGGAGAATAATAAGATTATAAATCTTATATTGAATGTATGAACAGTCATTCTAAGTTTAAGCTTTGAACTATGCAGGCTTGAGATGTAAATTGTAGAATATTAAATTCTTTAATGCAATTACAGGGATTAATACTGGGATTTAAATTGTTGAAATAATAAATATTCTTCTGCAATTATTTGGAATGGTTTGGATTGTAAATTGCTAAACTGTTATTTATATATTGTAATTAACATAATTTTGGATGTTAATTATAGAATCTTATATATTATTCTACAATTAATTGGATTATGGTTTTGAATGGTAATTGTTGTAGTATTGTATTAAACTATTCTGCAATTACTTGGCTTTTGGTTTCAGATATTAAATTTCTGTACTATTATTCATAGTCTATAATTTTTTTCATGGTTTTGGATTTAAATTGCTGAATAAATATATATTCTGTCATTTACATGGATATAGGGGATTGTATGCACCGGTATAGGACGGTGACATACTAGGTATGGTTTAGCTCAAAACGCTATTTCCTACCTTATGGATTTTAATTGGTGAACAGTTTTACCTGTTCTATCAATTATATGGATTTTGTGGATTGTATGCATCGGTATGGGACGGTGGCATACCAAGGACAAACTGATTCAAAATACTCAGTTCTACCTATTTTGGAATAAGGGTATGAATTATAAAAACATAATTCTCCTTATATTTAAGTCTGTGCAGTTGAATAAGCTGAACGACTTATTGGATCTCTTATATAAGTCTGTGCGGTTGAATAAGCCGAACGATTTATTGGATTTCCTATGGATGGATATTAATGGATTTTAAATATATTTTTATGGTACCACTAAATGAGCTTGAATCTCAGACTCGTTGGTTAGGGTGCGTATATGCAGTAGGATGCATAGCTAGCTATGTTGGTTGAGGTATACCCTGTTAGGCTTAGGTAGTCATGCCCACTCAGGTGCGTATTGCATGTTGCCTTCTATTCAGGTTGAGACTCTCATCATAGTTTAGTGAAAGTCCTGTAGTGTGGATATATTTTTATCTGTTACGAACTATATAGATATTGTTGAGATATCTAGGGTGTATCTGCGTATCGGGTCACTGTTTGGATTGTAGTTAGAGAAGAATTTGCATGTGGGCCTGACCCACTCTTATTTTTACAGGTGTTCATCAGTTCCAGGCCTAGAGCTGGATCGTACTGAGCAAATACAGTTATTCACTCCACCGATGACATAGGATTTTATTTCATATTGTGGACTTGAGTTTTATTTCCAGTCTTTTGAGTTCAGTGGGATATTTTTAGGGTCCACTAGATGGATTCCCGAGTTGTATAAATTGGAGAACGATTTGTATTCGTGGAGGATCAGTTGTATCATAATAGTTTTATTTATCAATTAAAATTTTTATTTTGAGGTTTCAATTATTGGTTTATCGTTTTAGTTCTTTCAGCATTTTTAATCATTCTTGTTAATCATATTTTTATTTTGTGTTCGTTAATTGTTAATTGATTTGATATCCTCGGGTAATCGGGCATGAGCCTGGCCAACTCGCATCCGGAGATCCGGGGGTATCACAGGTAGAAAAAATGATAATAGGGTTGAGAGACCAAGTGAAGATAGTGAACCGGCGCAACCAAGTGGTTGCCCCCGTCCCGTTTCCAATCCTATTCCTACTTCCTTTGATGCAAGTGGTTCCAAAAAGAACTCTCCATCTTCTTCATCATCATTACCCCAATTAGAGAAGCCTTATGAGCCAAAAGCTCCTTTTCCTCAAGCTTTGAGAGAGACTTCACCCTTTGTAATACCCCTAGTTTTCAAAAGGATATAATGGGGATTTAATTATTTCATTTTATTGTATTTTATGTGATTATGTGGCTATGTGCTTATGTGGTTATGTGTTTATATGTTATGTGTTTAATTGAGATGTATTATGTGTATTATTGATGGGTATTTGTGTGATTTGAATGTGCTTAAATGGAGTATAATTAATTTAGTAATTGACGTGCTTGATTTGATGATGTGTATTAGTTTATATTTTTATTTGTTAGGATTAAATGAATTAGTTGTTTTTATTTTTATTGTTTAAAAAAGGATGGATGTGGATGGTAGTAATGGACCATTTATTTGGATTTCAGGGACTACTTGGATAGGAGGCTAGATAGGTACGGATAATTACCGATGGATAGTTGTATATATGTATGGTTACATATATATATATATATATATATATATATATATAAAAGAATAGTATTATTATTATAATTATTATTATTAATAATAATATAGATGTGTAGTCAGCTATATATATATTTATTTTAATGTGTATATATATATATATGGATATTGACTAGTAGTAGTAGTTATTATTATTATTATTATTAATTAATGGAAGGATTTGTAGTACATATTTAAATGGGTATATATGTATACAAGGTTAGAATTATTATTATTTTATTATTTGATAAG